TGCTGCTACACGGGATTGTTGTTGATGTATCCCGTATTCCCATTTATAGTATAGGCCATTATGTTATTCGTATTTGAGCATGTTTTATGTTTAATAATAGCATATTTGGTCTATGTTTATTTTATAATTTTAGTTTTCAGTGTAATGTTTCTGGACAATGTGTTTGGTATGGTGTCTCTTTAAGAGAATAGTAAGGCGATGTTTGGAGGATGTAGTATTTCAGCCAGTAGGGGGCATAACTTCCTTTGTGATCAGCTGTGGAAGCACATGATTTTCCTACCATGTCTTTTGTTTCTATTGTCGAATAAATCATTTCTTGGTTAAGAAACATGAAGATGCATGTAGAAACTGTACTGACACAGGTTTTCACAAAACCATGGAATTTACAGTCGAGACAGAGGAAAATAACATGATTAAATGTGCTTTATTCTGCACGTAAAACCCCATTGTGTTATATTAATAATACAACCCAGTTTGCAAAAAACTAAACAAAACATTGCATAGGATGTGCACTGACATGTAAAAAAACTGCTTTCTTTTTTTGTAAGTGATATTTAGAGTAAAACTAAAATTGACTATGCCACAACAGTAATGAACATTGTTTTCCTTGATACAAAGTAGCACAAATGGTCTCAAACAAAACTCTTGAATACAATAAAAAGATTATAAAACATGATCCATGCAAACTTTGGCAAATTCATCAACTAGTTGTTCTCGAACACAAGCCATCTGATACGAGATCTGAGCAAATCCAGCCTGTATCGCTGAATCAAAACCACTCCAGAGATGCCAGAGCGGCAGCAGTCACGCTTTACATTCATGATCAAGATAAAACACAAAATAAGAAAGTAATAGAAAAACAGATGGAGATCATCTATATATGGAGGATTATTCAAATAGAGGAATTCTCTGTTCCCTAAGATGATTTTAGGAAATTAAGTCCTGTATTTGCTCTGCAGCAGCAGAAGTGTAGCAAGATCTATTTCGCCAAGACCAAACATATGAACATTGTCATATCCTTTACCATGCCAAAGAGTTGTCATGACAGAAATGCTTTTGTTGAAGCTGTCAGCCTGCATTATTTCTTTTAAACTTTTTTTTTAAAATCATATTGAACCATATAATGCCAGCTAAAAAAACTGCATTACGTATGATTCTGTAGTCTCCAAATGCTCTCAAACTCAAATATTTGAATATGTATGCATTTTTTGCAATAAACATTAAATACATTGTTTCTACATGTATCAATATCTTGAAATCAATAGATTTATATTTCTCCATCAATGCTTTTAGTTCTTTACCCCATTAAAGTTGTGTTTATTAAGTTGTGCCTATTTTTGGGCGGACTTTCAACTACATTTACTTCAAATAAAATGTTGTAATGTTGTGATTCTATAATAAATGTATAAAATATGCTAAAATCAGTTACAATTTGAGAATTAATTTTTTCAATTAATTTTGCAAAATTTGTTTGGTTTTGTTTTTTTATAAAAAAGATATTGCTGTCATTAGCATCACTTCAAGAATGGAAAACAATTCTGTTTTTTACACATTTGAATTAAAACCCATTCCATTTATTTTCATTTTTAGGATAAAGTTCAAAGTTAACTGATTGCATTAGCAAATTGAAGGCATATCTACAACTATGTATCCAACTTTCTCCAAAAACCTAAAAAAGTTATTACCATTCAAATCGACAAATGACACTTGAAGGTTGACCAGGATGTGATATATGTATCTTTTTTCCTAAGTATTCAGAAGTGTCACTAACTGAAGGATCATCCACATATGGTTTACACGAGTATCTTTGAGAGTGTCTATTTATTTTGTGGCTTTCACTGAAGCACATCTGGCAGATTAAATGTATCATGCTTTTCAGCTCTTAAGAAACATATTAGGATGACACAAGCTCCTCTCAGCTGTTCCTCTAATGGTTTCGGCGTAAATACTGAAGGTATGGCTATCTGCCCGAGAACCCCACGTGAACACTTCCTGATGGTCGTTTTGGCACACTGACCGGAGTATTTGACATGAACCAGTGTTGTCTGATGTCCTGTGCTTGTCTCACATTCAAATAATGTGCTCTAATGAAGAAACTTCAGCAAATCCAGTGAGCAAATGACCCGCTGTGTCGGATTAGCACTGCGTCATCACTTCAATACAGTGACCACATTTCCCTCGCCCACTGTCGTGACTTGGACTAATGCCTGTCTTGAGAGGCTCTCTAAAGACCAGAGGAAAGATGGACCAATAAATCTGGAAACAGGGGAGGTTTAATGGCTAAGCCAAAGCAATCTTCCAATAATGCAGCTTAACATCACGCAGGTGGGGAAGTGGTCAGTCTGTTAGTGAGAAGCGCAGCTTAAAGGGACAGTTTGCCCAAAAATGAACATTTTAAATATTGTTTCATTCAAATGTTGTTCCAAACCTGGACTTTTTAATCACAAAAAAAAAAAGCTAAATGACTCAGAAGACTTGCAATATAGAGTCCAAGTCACATGGACCACTTTTATGATGCTTTTGGGAAATTTTGTAACATTTTTATTGCATTTGCATGAAAAAAATAACTGACTTTACTGGTAAAATTATCATGTATTTTTGGTCATTACGTTGTGTGCAAGAAGCTAGGTCAGAAGCTCACAGGACCACAACTTTTTTTTAGAGAGTGTGTTGTTTAATACTATAACTACCAGTCCCTTGACACAGAGAATAATGTACCCTTTTTAGCCTGTATAGCATTCACTGGTTGTATGGAGAATGAGAACAACTAGACAAATAGGGTTAAAGAAACACAGACGCTACAGTTGCCACACCTTGATCAGTGGTTTAAATTGCACACTAAATCACTCCATCACACTACAATTCTGAATTCTATGCAGTCTAATCTGAAAGTATGCATATGAAAACATGGATTTAAGATGCAAAATAATTTCATAATGCACCTCTCATTTTTAATTAAGAAACAGTAAACACTGACATATTCCTAAACATTTCTGTCAAAACAGATGCTGCAAGACCTACCTGACTCAAAATGCATGCCTTGCCTCAAACTGATGGCTGACGGTGGATACTGCATTTGTCAGAAGGAAGCTCTCTGGATAAGTGATCAACCATACAAGTCTAACACAGCCTCGCGAGTCGCGCACATGCAAATATTATTCAAATCTCTCGCCTCCAATATTGCTACGAAATCAAAGCTTTAAAGCCAGAGGCAGTGCATTTCTGTGAAACAATTCATCAGTAAACAGTCAAACATATAAATAGAGCAAACCCCCTTCCAGGCGCACAAAGAAGCGTGTTAGGTGATGCTGCTGCTGATACACTCCCAGGCAAACCCTTCTTCCCGTCTCAGCTCTCTCCGTAACTTTTCCTTTTAAAGCAGTCGAATGGGATATTTTCAATACTCACAATTCAGTAGCCTAACAGGTGAGTGCCTCCTTTTGCGCTATTTCCTTGCGAGTTTCCAGATATCTGATTTCCCTCGCCGTGTTCCGCCTCTCCACCCCGCGTTGCAAATGCTGACGACGACGCTGAGTTTCTTTCCAGCACCAGCGCGCTTTGAACAGCTCCACTGACGTCACTCCCCGCGAAACCAACCGACGCCACGCCTTTCAATCCGCTGAGCCGGAGACCCCACCCAACAGGCACTAGCGGTTGGGATTTCGACTCACCCACGTGATTCGAATCTTTTGAATCAGTTCACTAAAAAGATTTGTTTAGTGACTGAATTTGGAATCCTATTAGGGGGATACTACATGTTTTTGACATATTGATTTTCATTTTAAAATAGTTTTTTTTCTACTGGTAACAGCAATGCAAAATGTATGGTCATTGTGGTTTTACTAGAAATTCCACTTTTCAAGGCCCGTATAGTTGTCAACTTGTCGTTCTTCGGTTTTTGATGTGAACGGGCCTTGAAAATTGAATTTTTAGTAAAACCACGATGACCATAAATTTTGCATTGCTGTTAGAAAAAACAATTGTAATGAAAATGAAAATCAATATGTCAAAAACATGTAGTAGCCTATTTTGGTGTAGCAAGTAGGCCTAGCCTACAGGCCAGTTTACCTTTATGGCCTGAACCACCCAATGTGTAGGATTGACCGTTCTCGGAGTTGACCGAAGTCGTATTTTACTTTATTAATACTCGTTATTAAAATTTAAGACGACTGTCTCATTTAGTCCGTTCATTACTTTGACGTAACTTAGCTATATCACAGTTCGCTTTATTTCTTTCATGAACAAGATGCGTTTGTTCAATTAGTTCAAGAACGAGGCTGTGTCCGAAATCACATAGACTACTCTCTTGAGTAGGTAGTACTTATTTTGAATAAGTAATTACTTCACAAATAAAAAAATAAAAAATTCACAAATCCTCCCCAGTGGCCTCAGTCTCCATCGAATGCATAATGCACTCTTCCGAATCTCGCAGGAAGAAGCAGGCCTAGGTCATAGGCTACTTCTTTTGTGACATAGCCTGTTTTTTGCCTACTAGCCTACATAGTAGGGAAGTATGCGATTTCAGATGCAGCCTGAGTTTCCCAGTTAACAGCCCCTCAGCCCTCTATGAAGGCAGGAAATCAGTCAAAGGAGAGTCTGATCTGAGTCGGTTGATATGATTCGTTCACTTAAAAGATTTTTTTTTTTTAGAGCAAACGAAACGAAACGCCTCTACTTTCTTCGGTGGAACACACAAAAAAATAATTGACCGTTGTTGTTGTTTTTTTATATATACAAAAGTGGTGCCTAAGGCTGTCATTATGCCTAACACCCCTTTTGTGTTCAACGTAATAAAGAAAGTCATTCTGGCTTTGATGGTGTGTAAATTATGCCATTTTTTTATTTTGTGTGAACTATCCATTAAGAACCACCAAGTGGGAAAGAAACCGTCATACGTGGTCATCGCGTGTTCGTTAATTGGGGACTCCAAATCCCATGAGACACTGCGATTGATTTCCAGCTCCACTGTTGCTATAGTGACACTCGCTGTCCAGGCTCTAACAGCACAAGCACAACGCAGCCAAGTTTGCGAAGGAAGGTGGCTAAAATATCAACGTTTCTGAAGCAGACATTAGAGGTATTTAGCTTGATAATACATTTACAGATTTACATGTAAATAGGTGTTACACACATGGTTACACACCGTTTGTGTTTAAACATGAATAAACAAATGGGTTTATGGGTTAGTTGTTATTGTTTTGTTTTCAACGTCTGTACTTAACTCGACGTCTTGAATACAAAAAGTTATCGAATATTTCTATCGTTATTAACTTAGCCTAAAAAAATACATTTCGTTTTGTGACAACATGCCTCAATAGCTGGCCACAATAGGGGTAGCAAGTTACGTTCTCACAAAAATTGGAATCTGCTGTTTACTGAAGATTTAAGTACAAGTAACTTAGGCCTATAGTTCATTTGTTTAAAATATGAAATAGTCTCCAAACTAATAAATAAAAAGCCCATCTTCCACAACACATCTGTTTTTAAAGGTTTTATAGTTTATTTTAAATTAAAAAGTAAACAGTCAACCATGAACAAAATTATTAAGCTGTTACTGAGAAAAAACACAAACGTAAAAAATAACATACTAACATTTTAAAATATTGTTTTGGCTAAAAGTATGTAACAAAATTACTGTACAGAAGATGGACATTTATTTAATTCTGTTGTCCTGAGAATATGTTTCAACCTGTGACAACAAGCCCCAGTCTCCCTTATAGCAGGGCAAAGTGTTATAAAGTTTTTCAACTTGTTTATAAAGCTGTGTCCTCTCTTTTTAGCTGGTCAACGGTGAGCGATGGAGGGATGTGTGGTCCGTCTCCACAATGTTTGTTTTAATGGTGATTTAAGCGCTCATCCCATCATAATCAACTTCTACCAACTCTTCCAAACCAGAGATGCTCCTGCAATTCTGCCTATGGTTGGCATACCCTTCTCTCTTATTTTAGATTAACATTCTTACTAAAGAACTAGATAGATATCACACTAGAAGTCCAAACACTAGAAGTTGTCGTGTAAACGTAGTGTACCCTAAAGCTTTTTTCTAAAACCTAGTGAGCTGCCTTGCTGCTTACTGCCTAGATAGGCTGCTTCTTTGTAAGGGACTGTCCTGAAATAAAATGAAAACAAATTACTTACTTTTACTTGCTTACATTTTTTTAGAACTTTTTAAAATGTTGTCAATTGTTGCAATACTCTATGGGACTGCCTTCTCCACAAAGGATATGTAAAATAGAATTTGGCCAAAAGAAGGCATCTTAGTAGGCAACATAATTAAGTTACATATATCTATATATGAATCTTTTTGGAAGAGTCTTTGTGTCAAGAGTGCCTTAAAATGTTTCCTATGTAGGCAGCTCACTTGGATTTGAAACAACATAAATATGAAAAATTGCCTCATACACACCCATACACTTACACCCACCCACACACTAATTCATTTCAATCCCACTTAGCCTCTTTTATTATCTTGCTTGCTTTCCCTTTATTGATGTTTATTGATTATTGAGTCCTGTATTCCACTTCCTTTCACATATTAACTCCTTCCTTGTTTTTGAAATATTATCTGGGCTTTTATAGCTCTTACTCCAAAAAATATGAAATTATAGAGCCAGCGCGATCAGGAATATAGGTCACGTTTCAGCCTCCCATCGTGTTGTCCAGGAACTCCCAGTCTTAATTGAATGGATTTTTCCCCACTGCTGCACAGCTAGAGCTTTGCAAACACTGGTGTGGGGGGTGGGCGTCATGCTGCAGTCGTTCTTTTGCACTGAATTGCTGGCCGCATGACATCTTGAGTCCACTGCTCTTTTCTACATAACCTGAGGCAAATGTTTAGATTTTTTTGTGCTGTGTTGACATATACATGCATATGTTTGTGCGAGCATGTGTGCTCAGAGACTCTCTTGATCTTGCAGATAAGGAACGAGGATGTTCTTCGGGCTGTGGTGGCTCTGTTGGACACATCCTTGCCTGATGTCGGCCCCAGAGACGTCCACAAAACTGTGCACTACCCAGGGATACGTACTATTATTTTATCACAGGACCATGTAGGTATGTAACTCACCTTGGTCGGGCAATAGAGCGTAAATTATGTTAGTGAGCATAATTCTGTATAGAATGAGTGTTGGCCTAAGGCTAATTTATGCTGATTTCTCTTTGCAGATGTTTTAGAGGACTATAGGGACAGGGCTTCCAGAAACAAGGGGACACATTTGAGCCCAGTATCCTGTAAAACAACAGACAGAGCTGAATCCGAACACAAGCTGCTCGCTGAGCTATACAGCGACTCTGAAGAGGGTTCAGAGGAAACCTCAGAGGAGACGTTAGAAGAAGAGACAAGTGACAGGTTGAACTTTCCTAAAAATTAAGGCTAAAGGTGCGGTCACATTTGCCGTTGTTCTTCAAAATATTCAAGGGCGAAATCCAATCATTTGAATAGGAATCCACACGATTAGGAATTTCGTGTGAGGTTGATAGATTTCCCCAAACAGATTTCGCTACTGGTTTCCCAGCATTGACCAACAGAAAAAATTTCGAATTCGTTTTCAAAAATGAAACCTTTGTCAGCATTTACTCTCCCTCATATTGCTTCAAACCCCTTTCTTTATTCTGTGAAACACACAATGTTCGAGCTGCTCTTTTACATAAATTCTTAAAAATAAAGGTTCCAAAAAGAGGTTTTAGCAGCAAAGCCATTGTAGACCAAAGAACCTTTCAGTAAACAGTTCTTAAAGGGGTCATCGGATGCAAAATTCACTTTTATATGGTGTTTGCATATAAATGTGTCTTTGCAGTGTGTGGACACAGCCACCATACAATGAAAAAAATCCATTCACTCCTCTTTTTTTTTAATCCTCAAAAAGCCTAAACACTCAGTAATCAAGCCGTTTGGATTTTCTGAGCAATATGATGTCATATTGCTCATGCTCCGCCCACGACCACTGACGGACTGTCCCGTATTAACATATTTCCTCCCTCAGCCATTTGTATACTGTCAGCCAAGGCAGCACTTGTGGAAAATGGGCATCCGATGACCCCTTTAAAATAACTATTATTTTCTTAGTGTAAAGAACATTTTAATAATCTTCTGAAGCACCTTTTTTCACTATGAAGAAGCTTTTGTGAAACAGAAAATCTCCCATGGTTGTTAAAGTTTCTTCATGGAAACACAAATGCCAATAATGAGTGTACAACAAAAGTTGATGGTGATTTGTGCTGTCAAACTCCAAAACAGTTTAAAAAACACCACACAACTTCCAAGTCTTCTGAAGCCATATTATAGTAGTGAGAATAGTGAATAGAATATAGAATAGAATAGTATAGTGTGAGAAACAGACTAAAAATTAATCAATCATTCTGATTGAGAATTTAATGAGAGATAATATGACATTCGGCACAAATCGTTTGCTGATTCTATTAAAGATAATGGAATTACAACGGCTTTTCCCCAGATCCTCTCTCGCAAACAGTGTGCCAAGTGTTCTTTATCATCTCTATCCCTCCTCCTACAGGTGTAGATTTGGAAAGGAGTGAACTGGAGTGAATGTTTATTTATTTATGACATATCTCTACATTTAACAGAGATCACCGTGACATTATTATGGTCAATAACAATGACAAATGCCACCATGCATGTATGCCGGTTAGTTTCTATGCCAGCGCAACTGTGTTACACAGTTTCAGTGACAATTGTATCCTATTATAGTCTCTTACTGGGACAATGTTAGTGCATAGTGTGACAGAATATGGTTGATGGTGAAGAAAAGTTGGTTTTGCACAAAATTGCTAACCGGATTCACAAAAGGAATAAAATGTTAATTTTGGTAATACTTAATGTAAGGGTGTGTGAATATATTTTAACTTTTGATTGCAGCCATAATTTCAGAATCTTGTCGGAGCCTTACCACACATGCTGTAGACATACAGTATATCGCTATGGTGCTCATGTGGGAAATGGAGGTTCAGACCTGCCCTGATCCCATTTCCTCAGTCTCTTCTTATAGTTTCAAGTCTTCTAGCTACTGTTGTGCTAAAAAATCCAGAACATTTTTAGTTTGTATGAGCCTGTTCTCTGTTTCCCTGTAGATGGTCTTGGGAGCGATTCTGTGAAGGCCTACAGGAGTTTGTGGACGGAGCGAGGGAAAGGAAAGAAAGAAGAGCAGTACAAGGAAAAGACGGAAAGATCCCGCCATCCGCCGTAGGAGTTGAATCTCTGATCGTGGCTGCTGCATGCTATGAAGTCAAGCTACTGTAAGCAAAGTACAACCACAGTTCCTGATTCAATCAAACATCAGTGAAAGAGCCATATAATACTATTTTGTGAAATAAAACACTAATGGTTTAAAGCAAGATACTTTTCTTCTGTTAGTATCTTATAACATCATCTGGCAATGCAGTAAAGCTTTGTCAATTGCATTTTATAGTCATTTTTTGCAATAAAGAGGAAGTTTCGCAGACGAAATATAGATATTACACAAAATGTAAATCAAAGTTCAGCTGAACCTCTTGTTTGTTGCATTCTACAAGGGATGTTCACACTAAACTTTATACACATGCAAACTAGGGATGCGAAATATATATATATATATATATATATATATATATATATATATATATATATATATAGATGTTCCCAATTTAACTCTAAGGTGTGACGACATGCACAATTTTGCATGTTTAAAATGTATGACAACCCCTTAAACCCTACTCCCATTCACAAACTTTTTATTACAGTTGATTGATTTACAAAACGTTCTATTTTGTCTGCATTAAAAGGTAATAAAACACCACCTGAGCAAAATCCTCTTCCACCTACAATCCATTAGTCTAAATCAAACACTGTTCAGCTGCGAGAACAAGCTCCTGACTGTCCTTCCATATAGCCTCAGTCAGCATTTCAGCTCTTTATGAGTGGATACCATCCAGGATTTCAAAAAAAAAAAGAAAAAAAAAAAGACTTTATTTATATCATCAAAACCTGAAAATGAAGCCTTGTCATTATAAGATCCCACTGAATGGTGTTGCTCCACCCTGAGTCTATTTCCAGTCCAGAGGGGCTGAAGAGTGGAGAAACCTGCCCTGCCCTGCTGACTGTGGGGTGTTATTACCAGTCAATGAGAGACTATGGCTTCCTCTCTCGCTCCTTTCCCTCTTCTGCACTCTGTATTTGTGTGCCAATGGCTTCCACATGGCCAGTGGTTTAGTTTAACCTCAAGTGTCTGCCATATACACACACCCTAACTAGAATGTTGAGACACGTTGTGACAGTTAAAAACAATGTTTCTCAGAAAATAAAGCAATATGCTAATCTAATGAAGATATTGACTTGGAGTCTTCTGTTTCTGTCTGTGAAATTGTAGATCTACAGGAGACACTGTGCTTCAGCTTTCTCTTTTGGCTGTTAGGAAACGCTACCGGCACCTTGGGATTGGCAGCTACATCATAGAGGTAAACACATGCACAAATTGCTTCTGTTTGGACCTTGTCAAACCTCTTGTACATGTTCTGCTTTGATAGTTGTGAATAACACTGTATATCATTGCTGCAATGTCTTAACAAATTACTTGGGGTGCAAGTTTATAAACACGGCCTAGAAGTTTGTAATTTGCTTAGACACTGCCCTCTGCTGTTTGCATGTAGTACTGCTATTTAGTTTTTTTGTAATGACTTGCTCTCTCTAAACTTCAATTTATAATTCTTTTGTTTGTTTTGTGGACTTTGTTTCAGCTTCTGAAGACTCAGTCTATAGTAGGGCAATATGAAGCACTTGTTGCTCACGTTGACATGGGTGCAATTGGTTTCTTCAAACGTCACGAGCTCACAGACGACCTCCTCCTTAATGACAAATTCAAGTACTGATAATGCCATCCCACACTGCATGTTGTGCTATCACACAGATTCTGGAATTTAAATCTAAATTTAAAAATCACACAATAAATGTCTAGGTACAAAAATCACATTGCCCTTACAGACCACCCTTCTAATTCATTTTGCACACACACATGACTTTCTCAAAATGGCAATCATATTTACAAGCTCTAAATGCCATATAAAAAAAAAAGGCAGTTGAAGATGTTGAACAGGTGGTCCATCTAAGTGGGTCGTTCTTGGCCAGAATAAGCTGAAAACTGGGCTAAACTTTATGCTGATAATTAAAAATCTGGCTGTTTCCATGAGACCAATATGTCTCTATTGAAAGCGGATATGAGGCAGAAGTTGCTGATTATTTTATTATTGTTTAAACAAACAGTGCCATCTTACGCCAGGTGGTGTATGACTTATAAATGTATAAATTAATTAATACATTTTTATTAATAATTAGGGCTGTCAATCTAGTAAAATATTTAATTGCAATAAATTTTAAAATATTTCTATAGTTAATGCATTTAGTTCCTTTTTTATAAAAAAAAAACAATTAGGTATTTAAAATATTTATTAGGTATTTAAACACATTTAATCATGCATTATACAACATTAACTTATTAAGTTGCAACAAACAATTATTTTTAAACAACAATTTTTTCTAACTTTTTTTTCTAAGTGTAAATCCTAAAATTACAAAATTTTCAATCAAAATAAATTAAAGCTATATATATATATATATATATATATATATAACGAAATAAAAAATGATAAAAGCACAAAACAAAATTCCTAAAACGATTCCTGAAAATATAAAAAAGAAAAACTAATTCAAAGTCTCAATAAATACTATAATAGTATATAAATACTGAAATAACACTGATAGTACAATCAAACATAATTCAGCTGTGTTTATTAAGCAATGACATAAAAAAAACTTGTTTTTCAAAATTTGATTCAATAAAACTCCACAACTTCTAAAAGTGTTGTTTTGGTATACTACACAGAGAGCTGAGCGATGACTGGACCAACAGTATTCTTATGAGCTACCTGCCACCCTTTACTACAGGTGAGGCGCACACACACACACGAACACACACTTATAACTTCATGTTTTCATTCAACACATTTCTCTTTAGACCTAGAGATGAGAAATCCTGTTTTCTCCCTGAGTTTACGAGAGTTGGAGATGGACATGAATATGGCGTGAGTTAATCTTCACTAACTTCTGTTCTGAGTGGTTGCTATGTGCTTGCTAGGTTTGTTCTAACCCTAAATATGAGCAATAATCTTAGCAAGCACCACTAATAATAACCTAAAATGTATTAAACAACATCTGATTGCAAGATTAGTGGTGTCTCTGTTTCTTAGAAGGTCACAGGCTCTCTGTGCATATCAGCAACAGGTGGTGTGTGTCACCAGGCTACTCAAAGAGGTCAAGACCTTACACTGTAAAAAGTGCTACACCCACAAAGTAGGTTTTATATATTTTAAATATTTGTAATCTAGTTTATTTTATTGGTTTTATACAAAAAGAGTATCAAAATACTTCCTCTTTACTTAAAATATATCAGTTTTTATATAACAATATATTTTAAATAAAACCCATGCAATTTATTTGGGTAGTTATTTGTATGTGGTTGTTGTGTACAATAAATGTTATAAAAGTGAGTTGACAGTGCACAATTTATTTGAGCAGCTGTCGATGTGACAGGTGTGTTCATCAAACGTAAATATTTTAAATTTTATAAGTTGGCATTATCCCTTTTTCACTGGCGGGGACTCCAGACAGATGCAATATCTTCCTCGGCACTTCAACTGTTTGGTCGCTGCAGCGGATCTGAATTTCAGGGTCTGATTAACACGGTGAGTTAAGCAAATTTAGCCGAATGACTGGTGATGTAAACTAAAGTCACAAAATCGCTTACTCCACTAGGGAGCTGAGGTTAGGTTTGCAAATTGTATAGCTAGCTATCCTGCACACATGGTAAGCTAAGATGGCTGCACAGTGTGGTCGATCGGCAGACAACAGCAGCAGTGTTTAAAAACACATACAAGTTACGTATGTAATAATTAGTTGCACAAATGCCCTCAGTTATATTTTTAGATTGCACAGATTAAATTTCGTGATCATATGCGATCGAAACGGTCGCAATTTCGAGCCTTCAGGCAATAGTTGTGCGGGCAAATAAGGGAAAGTAAGATGTGGTGTTTTATGGACAACACTTTGTTTTGTGTGTTCTGTGTCTTTGACAGAACTCAGAGATTATGTTATTATACTTTTGCATTACTAAAGCAGATGCACAGATTAGACTGTATGTATGTTTAGTAGTCTGTCTGATTTTAGAGATTTGATCCACGATATTTTAATGCTGCATTGTCAATTAATGACAGATTTTTGGTCTAGATTCTTATACTATTTCTAACCTATTACTTAAAGAAGTTACATTTACAACTGATTTTTTTTAACCTTATTTCTAACATCTAACATTTTCCTGGTCTTTAGATACCCAAGCACTTTTGTTACCTGGGGTCTTCGAGCTTCACATCCAGGTAAGACAAACTTCAGAATAGATTCAATTACAATTTGATCAGATTATACGTGTTCTGTAAGTCCAATAGACGTTCAGGGAATCTCCATACAAGGTTAAAAACTAGTTCAGATGTGGACATATTTTATGTAATTTAATGTCTAATTTAGACAATTTAAACTTTTTCTGGACCAAACACTTTCAGGATGCATTAAATTAAAACTCATGTTTATTTCAACGTAATTTCTAATTGCAAAGCAACTCTCAGACAGTGTGTGTTTGTCCAAAAATCATGAAATCATTACTGTCTACTTAGGGCAGGCAGCTTAAGGTCCCTGGTTCGAATCTGATTTCTCTCATGATCCAAATATGTATAAATGACAGATGCTAAACTGTCTAAAGGTGTCAGTGCGTGTTTGTCCAAAAATCATGAAAAGAAACTTCACTGTCTGTGAATTGCTTTGCAATTACACATGAAAATTACATTGAAATAAATGTGAGTTTTAATTTAATATATCCTGAGAGTGTTTATTTGGTCTAGAATAAGTATAAATTGTCCAAATGAGACCTTAAATGATGTTGAAAATTGTCCACATTGTCCACATCTGAACTAGTTTTCAACCTTGAATGGAGCTTCCGTGAACGTTCATTATAGAACACCTCAAAAAAAGTCGTAAAAACGTTCATTCTGGCTCCTCAGTGGACGTCTTTTCAATGCACGTCTTTGTGACAAAGACGTTGAAAAGATGTCTTTTGGACATAATTTTGCTTAGTGGGTTTATTAATATTGTGATGATATGGGGTGATTACATTTGCTCTGGAAAGATATTTAAACTCTGTAGCTTAATTAACAGTAATGTGATGACCAATCAGGTACAGGCAAGGACAATTGCATTTGTTTTATTGTAATGCATCCTTTGAACCAGAAAAATACAACACTCATGCTAGAGTAGATCATGATATTTTAGTACCCACAATCTATGGCATTGTCATGGTAGACTTCACTCTGGTCACATGTTCTAGTCACAGTATCCATCTTGTATCCACCACCTTTAGCAACAAAAGTACAATTTGGACTTTGTGTCTTATCTCTTCTACCTGTCTGCTAATATTCATCTCATTTCCTATTTGTCTGACCAAACTCTTGTTTCTTTTTTGTCTCCACCAATAGAGTCGGGCTGAAAAAGAGGTGCACGCTGAGCTTGGCAGTTGCCCACTGAAAATTTACATGTTTCATCACCCCGAAACGATTGGGATTATCATATAAGGACAGCCCGTGGTCAGAGGTGTGCCAAACCTGTTGAAAGCATGCTGCCTCCTGTTTGAACTTACCTATGCTCTCGACCTCATGTCTCCCTCAAAACTGGTGTATACTTGATATATATCAGAGGCTTTTTGTAGGATTGGACCCTGTGCGTCCTAAACCATCATCATGTAATTTTTGACATTGCAGTTCCAGTGTGATACAATGTGATGTTATGGCTCACATTTACCTTGATCCAAACATTTCAGATTGGGCAGTTTGGATATTTCACTGTACTGTTCAGAACAGGTTGAAAATACACTTCTACAGTGTTTGTTTTATATTAGAGTGTATGTGCGGCCACATTTATTTGCTGTTTTGTAGTCACTGTTAAAAGTGACACTGGTTGACATTGAATAAATTATATATTGTCTTCAATCTATCTTCTCATCTTTTTCTTCTTCAATTGAATTTGTAATTGTTATTGACAATTAAAAAAATATATATTAAAATGTTTATTCACATATGATTAAGTAAATTTTACTAAGAAAATAAAGTTCATAAAACCTCATTAAAATGAGTACAGGTTACTTGTAGCAACCCATAAATAAGTTACCTGTACCAAGAAAAGTAGGTTTATCCAACTGAGTAATACTAGTACTATTAGTTAACTCAACTTGATTTTGTTGCGTTTCTATAAAGTAATGTTAAAGTGTTCAATATACTTAAAAAAGGCTGCAAGTTGAATCAACATAAAACATCCAATGCAGCCACTTGCCTCACTTTTTATAAGTTAGATCTAGGTATTACTTTTTACAGTGTACGCGAACAGGTGATAGTACATTTTGTACGATATTTGGTGGTCCTCTTACTTACTGACAGATGTCAATTCATTATAATCACAGATAGACTCTGTGTTTCTATGTCAAGTTCCTCATGTGTGTGTGTCTGTGTGTGTGTGTGTGTGTGTGTGTGTGTGTGTGTGTGTGTGTGTGTGTGTGTGTGTGTGTGTGTGTGTGTGTGTGTGTGTGTGTGTGTGCGCGTACACTTCCATGTTGAGTGGTTTTTCAGCTAGGTCTACAACGTGAGGAAGTGGAACGTCTCAACTGCAAGCTAGAGCAGGAAAAACGAAAGAGGCATGATGTAGGTATGTTTGTAGTACCATTGCAAATTCATTTTACCCCAGCATTTGCCTTCCCTTTACACTAACCAAAATGATGAAGGTTAAAGCAGCACCTACCAGGTGTGTTCACAAGTCAAGTCTCAAGAGCATTTTGGTAATTTAATATTATTAAATATTGGGCAGGAAAACTCTTAACTCTTTCTTAACCCTATTTTTCATCTATTTCTCTTAACATTATCCTTTCCATTTCCCTATTACGTTTTTCTAATATTAAACAGTTTTTCACTCTAATTGTATTACATTTGATTCTTTTTATATATCCTTTTTCTAATCTTAATGTTTATTTAGTTTATTTTTTTCTTTTATAGTATTCTTTTTATTCTCTTATAATTTCATTTCTCTTTTCTACTTTTATCTTTATTGTATTTTATTTGTAAAAAAAATTCTTTAGTTTTATTTTATTTGTATTTATGGAGTTTAATTATAATTTATTATATATATGTTCTTTCAGCTATTGATGAGATGATTTTAATAAATTAGCACTGGGTCTTATATTTATTTACATACGTGATGTATAATAATATATCTTGTTGATAATTTTGTTTTTATTGTTATTATCTCCCAATTTAATATGAGGGTGTTAAGAATAGATTTACACTATAAAAAAAGTTGCTGCCTTAAATTTAAGTACAATCAACTTAGTCATTTAAACTTAAATTACATAAAACTGACTTAAAAAAATGAATCTTGTATAACTTATACAATTTTTTTTAAAAATGTAAAAACATAAGTTGTCATGATTTATTGATCATATAGTTTTTTACAGTGTAGGGACATTTATATTCTAAATTAATTTTGAGTGTTAGATGAGGGGGGCAAATGTAATCTGCATTTGTAAAAGAGGATGCACAATTGAAAATCCAATATCAGCCAATATTGATAAATTACAAAATATTGGATGATAAAAAAATGAAAAGATTAAACTGATCTAAAGAAGAAGAATAAAACACTATCAAGATACAAAAGTAACTTCTCAGGGATTTACTGAAAAATATTTTTCTTAGATACTAGGCCTACTCATTCATTGCTTCATTCACCTGCCATGTCTTTATCGTCCAAGATACATGGTTCAAAATAATGAATGTATAATTTTACTCTTGTGTACATTTTCTGTAGAAAACAGGTTCTTGATGTACAGGCTGAAGAGTGCACAAAAACTGTTGGACAGCAATGACTCAGACTCAGGTGTGTGTGTGTTTTTTTTTTTTTTTTTCATCTAGCAGTATTTATAATATATTGGTTAGCCACAAGATCCCTGCCTGTCATATTGACTATTGACTGACCAATAACAACTTCAGACTGACCTTTGCTCTCACATCCAATTATAAGAGCCATTTGTCTTAGTCTGTGACTCATAGACTATGCTGAGTTATAATGAGTCATAAAGCTCTACTGGCTCAACAGTGAAAAACCCATAAATCGATGGTGTCTATAAAAAGGAAGCGAAGAGAGGCACGATATTGAGTCCTCAACGAGTGTGAATCCGCTTCAGTCAAACCAAGTAGTAATTTAGTGAAGAAATAATACATTTTAAGCATGACATGAAGTGGAGTATATGATAAAAGATTCCAGTTTTCAATTTAAAAAAAATACACACACATATAATTATAATCACAAGTCTTCCAGCAAATACTTTATCTTAACTGGAGGTTGTTTATGAAAAGCAACAAATGATGTGGGGTCACAAGTGTCAGCCATTAGCTATTTTACAACAGATTTGAACATGGCTCATCCAATAAAATGCTTCGTAAATGCTTTTCGTCTCTTAGCTAAAGTTGAGTTGTAAGGAATGACATACTGGATTGTCTAATTTCCAGATGATCATCAACATACTGAAGACGAGGATTCAAAACCAGGAACACAAGAGCAAGAAAGAGCACAGTCCGAAGAACCTTTCATACAAACACCAGAGGGAGCTGGAGGCTGTGGATGAAACTGATACTTTCTACATTAAAATATATGAAAGACAATTTATACTATGATTGTAAACATAAAACATTCTGTATGTTCATGTTTATTCATTATGCAGTGATTTTCATCAGATTTCTAGGCATGTCTGAGGGTGATATAAGTTGCATTGTATTCATTATAAATGGTGTACCTTATTGTAACTTTATGCTTATTTGTACTTCTGTCTCGTATCGGTTTTGAATGTCATGTTTTAAGAGTTGCTCTCTTGGTTGCCAGAAGTGAAAGTCTCTGGACCATCTATATACCCGCTTTGGGAAATAAAAAAGACCAGTTTTGAATTTAAAACACAACACACTTTTTATTGGGTAATTGTATTTGAAATGCCTTCAGAAGAAGGTATTATATGCTAAAAGATAGGCATCATTGTACAAGTAGAGTTTCCCATCAACAGGATTGTAGTTCAGATTGGCTATTCCAGCAGAAACCTTCTCAAAAGGCAAAGAAAGAGTGTTTATCTCTTGGCCAGTGGTTGTATCAAAGGCATAAAACACCTCTTCTTGGTAAGTACTAACATAGCGTGTAGCGTACAGGACCCCGCACACCATAAACGTGCTGGTGACGGACCTCTTAAAGAGATGTGTCTTCCAGGTGTGTGTGATATTGAGCTCCAGCGGGTCTAAGCGACTCACAACAATGTTGCCGCGGTTCTCCTCGGTGGCGTATATCACCCACACGGCGTCTCGGTCAGCCTCCAGGTCGATGTCTGTCCAGTCACGGCAGCTGTAGTAGCAGAAAGGGAACTTGTTGTCGATTCCAGCACCATCCAGTTTCATACGTTTGGTTGTTTTTGTCGTAATGTTGAAGCTGCAGATTTCAGCGGTGCTGTAGCATTGGTAAAATACGGTATTGTCGTACAGTATAGTGCCAGAGCCCTGAACAGCATTTTTGTCACTGTGGGATGGTGCTATCTGTTCATCTTTGTAGTTCCTATTGACCATGAAATCTTCGTACGAGTTGTACACCCTGATTGTGTTCCCATGCTTGTGTCCACTCACCAGACAGTGTTCCCAATAACGTTCCTGATTGGTTAGTAGGGCATCACGGCCCCAAGCACCAGAAATATAAGATTTGCTGATGGAATTGAGCTTGGTGACACTTGGAGAACTTATTCTGGTCATGATACGCTGATGACAAGTGCCTGCAAGTATTAGCAACACAGTTTGTTTTTTCTTAGTTTGTTAGAACCTTTTTGGACCTTAGTAATTCAGAAAATGGCATTTGAAAGCAATTATGTTTCTATATCCTATACCTTCAGAAAAAAACTCACAAATAGCAACTTACTTCTGAAATTGTTTGGTATGCTCTTGCAAGTCTGTGCTCGGTTGTTGAGGTCACGTAACCTCTTCTTCATGGTCTCCAGGTTGAAGAAATCATCTTTGTACATCCTCCGGACATCATTTTTTGCCTTATTTAACTGAGAACATCACAGATGGTATCATTAATCTGTTGTCTCATTCACTATTATGTATATTGTTTAAATAGTTCTGTCATCACCTTTAATTTGAGTTTGATTTGAAACACTGATCACAAGAGAAAAGAGTTTAGAAATATGTATGTTCACATGTTGCAATGTCTACCTCACTTAACAAGTTATGTGTCTCCTTGTTGGGGTTCTGCAAGTGTGATTCATTCACAGATTGATGGATTTCCTCGAGTTCTTGGTCCAGCTGTCGCAGCGTTAGAGCGTTGTATAGTCCACTTGTGTGAAGGTAATTGAATGCTTTCAGACGGGCGGTGATGTTCTGAAGAGTGTCTCTCATTAACGGCAGTTCTGCATCTGTGTTACTCATCTGGAAGTCACCTCAGATAGTTCATTGATATTGCCTAAGTTCAAGATTCGACGTCTAAAAATCATTGCAGTGTCCATTTAGTTATAAAGAAGCTTAACTGATACCTTACCTTTTCCTCAAATTCATTCAGGTTCTCCTCACAGGTCTGGACCTGTTTTGAGACTTCCACAAACCGTACAGCGGGAAAAGTCCAGATAGAGCTGTTTATTTTACACAAACATGAATCGGTCTTCTGTTGACCTGGCACTCTCTGAGCCTCGACAGTCGCCTTATGTACAAATACAATCAGATGTCATACATACACAAGTTCTCTCATATTTTCTTACTTTTCAGAGATGTAAGAATTGTAGAAACCTGTGAGCTAATTCAAGACACAAAGAGAAAACTTACAATGACTGTGAGGAGCAGCAGGTAGATGAACATGTTGACTGAATGGGCTAAAGACTAAAGATCTGCTTTAAAGCACCACAAAAACACTATGGTGCAATTTTAGTTATGCCAATAGTTATGCAGTTTTGGGGGTCTGTTGAAGAGGATGTGAAAATTGCACATAAGGCTCATTTAAGAAATTTAGGAAGAAATTTAGTTGAGAAATGTGGGAAAATTCTACCACAAGTTCCCCCCTAAAATCTTTCAACCCTAGTTCATCATAAATTTTATGCAAAGATCTGCACTTTTATTATATGATAAGGGCTGAAAACTGGTTTCAGTACTGCACGATATTGAAATGACGGAAACACAATCTCTTAGTTTTTGTTTTAAACTTTATGTCAGTGCAATATTACAAAAACTGTAAATACATGTATTTTAAATGATGAAGATTTCAAGAAAAAGGGGAATTGATGAAGAGTTTTTAACTTTTTATTCCCATGCCAGCAAAATCTGGTATTCTGCCTATACAGTCAGTATTGTTGTTGATATTATGAGTTATTTTTTGTATACTTAATTCTTATATTCCTAAATCAAGCAATTTAAGACAAGAAAAAAGCTATTTCAAAGCTCAGTTTGAATACTATATATACTGCAAATAATAATAATATATAGCCTATATACACTCACCGGCCACTTTATTAGGTACACCTGTCCAACTGCTCGTTAACACTTAATTTCTAAGCAGCCAATCACATGGCGGCAACTCAGTGCATTTAGGCATGTAGACATGGTCAAGACAATCTCCTGCAGTTCAAACCGAGCATCAGTATGGGGAAGAAAGTTGATTTGAGTGACTTTGAACGTGGCATGATTGTTGGTGCCAGAAGGGCTGGTCTGAGTATTTCAGAAACTGCTAATCTACTGGGATTTTCACGCACAACCATCTCTAGGGTTTACAGAGAATGGTCCGAAAAAGAAAAAACATCCAGTGAGCGGCAGTTCTGTGGGCGGAAATGCCTTGTTGATGCCAGAGGTCAGAGGAGAATGGCCAGACTGGTTCGAGCTGATAGAAGGGCAACAGTGACTGAAATAACCACTCGTTACAACCGAGGTATGCAGCAAAGCATTTGTGAAGCCACAACACGCACAACCTTGAGGCGGATGGGCTACAACAGCAGAAGACTCCACCGGGTACCACTCATCTCCACTACAAATAGGAAAAAGAGGCTACAATTTGCAAGAGCTCACCAAAATTGAACAGTTGAAGACTGGAAAAATGTTGCCTGGTCTGATGAGTCTCGATTTCTGTTGAGACATTCAGATGTTAGAGTCAGAATTTGGCGTAAACAGAATGAGAACATGGAACCATCATGCCTTGTTACCACTGTGCAGGCTGGTGGTGGTGGTGTAATGGTGTGGGGGATGTTTTCCTGGCACACTTTAGGCCCCTTAGTGCCAATTGGGCATCGTTTAAATGCCACGGCCTACCTGAGCATTGTTTCTGACCATGTCCATCCCTTTATGGCCACCATGTACCCATCCTCTGATGGCTACTTCCACCATGTCACAAAGCTCTAATCATTTCAAATTGGTTTCTTGAACATGACAATGAGTTCACTGTACTAAAATGGCCTCCACAGTCACCAGATCTCAACCCAATAGAGCATCTTTGGGATGTGGTGGAACGGGAGATTCGCATCATGGATGTGCAGCCGACAAATCTGCGGCAACTGTGTGATGCCATCATGTCAATATGGACCAAACTCCCTGAGGAATGCTTCCAGCACCTTGTTGAATCTATGCCACGAAGAATTGAGGCAGTTCTGAAGGCAAAAGGGGGTCCAACCCGTTACTAGCATGGCGTACCTAATAAAGTGGCCGGTGAGTGTATATATGCAGTATATATAATATTCAAACTGAGCTTTTAAATAGCTTATATATATATATATATATATATATATATATATATATATATATATATATATATATATATATATATATATATATATATTTAAGCAAACCATTTTGCAATATCAAAGTATTTGCAGGATCAGGTGATGAACTTCCTTATTTCATAATTTTCTCATGTCAGCACTGTTGACTTACTGACCAATCCTGGGTTTTTGGCTTTAAATCTCTGCTTCTGTCTTTTTATTCTCAAGGCTACAGGATCCCAATCATTCCCAACTCAAACATGAGTCAGTCAAACATGTTCATTTTGATGGTCGTCATTCCTCTAATTTTATCACAGGTAAAATTTTAACTGTCCTTTTATTAACATTATCATTTTTTACATTGTTTCTGACACTATTTTCAAAAAAGTGTTTAGCAAATTTGGTTATATATAATTTTTAAAGTGTAATTTTGCTTGTATGTTGGAATTAATTATGTTTTTCCCACTCCACAGTCAACGAGAGGGAAGGACTGTGTGTGTGAGCTGCAAAATTCTGATGCTGCTTTTCCCGAGAATAAACTCAAGAATGTAGAGTTGACTGCTTCAAAATGCACAGGGAACATCACTTCAGAAAAGGTATCAAAATATCAAAACATACTGTAGTATTGTGATTTTTATGATTGCAAATCAGTCAAGTTAAAAACTCATTTTACAGTTTGCCATATAATTCTATACAATCTGTTATTAAAGCAAAATTGCTTTCTCTTCAAATGTGTGCAGATGACAGAGATTGACAGGCTTGTGTTGGGTCTACAACATCGTATCTGGCAGCTTCTGGACAATGTGTCCATGCTGGAAAAAGAAGACAATGGAAATCTGTATGCAGCCGTGTCTCTACGCATTATTGAATTAGAGTTAGCGGAGATTCAAGACCTTCTGGATAAACTCAACAGGACCACCAAGAATTACCAGCTGCTCAGTGGACAGACTGCAGCAGAGGTGAATTTATCTACCACAGCACTTTCACATTTCTATAACAATTTTATGCAATTTGTTTATTTCCAAGTGTCAAATTAATTCCTAATCAAAATGGATAATTTTCAGTATGTGTACGAAAAGATCAAAATATCAAACATATTGTTTCGGTGTCATATTAGGTGTCGCAGAACATGATCATATTCAAAATGTTTGTTTGTTTAAAATAAATGCATATATGTTTGTTTAAAATAAATGTAAACATTTAATTCAAATCAATTCCATTTAAATACAGTGCATTTAAATTAAAATTCTTTTCTGCAGTGTTTTGCATTATGTACAAATTTATGTCAGACCAATAAGAAAAAATATTAATATTAATTAATCAAATACATCTTAAATAGATTTTTAAGTAATCTATTTATTATTTGCATTTTTTTTTTTTAATTATCTTTCAGTTCCACAATTCCTCAATACTATTTCACTGGGACATTTTGTGAATTATGTGCATTTTGCTTATTCTTATTTAATCCTTCATTCCTACAGCTTCAGGATATGGAGGAAACGATGGTGGAGCTGGAGAGGTTTGACCACACACAGGTGATGGTGAAACAGCGAGAGAACCAGCGGGTTAAGAGGGACCTGGAACGGTGCAAAGATGTGCTTAATAGTACAACACCAGCTCCTACACTTCCCCCAGGCATGTATAAACTTATGTAGCCACAGCTACACCCCTGTGTCAATGTATTAGACTTACATATTTGCTTTATTTTTAGATCACTGTGGTCTGGGCCGCATGGTCAATGTTTCAGGACCTAAAACCTATTCCCTCACTGTGTATGGAACATCCTACACTTTCGGTGCTTGGGGTCGAGATGCGAAGCCGGCTCCAGGAGACGAGAACAAGTACTGGCTGGTGGTGCTGTCAAGTAGTAATGTACATGGCCACTTTGTTCGCCAGTACAGTAGTATGAGTACTATTATATTGGGTATAGGACCAACAGATACATATATATCAAGCTCCAACCCCACAACAAACACAATTCAGGGGCCAAACATGGTAATGTACGGCAATGCGCTCTACTATAACTGTTACAACACATACTCCGTCTGTCAGTTCAACATGAAGACTCGTGCTGTCAGTACTGTTGCTTTACCCAATGATGCAGGTTACAACAACAAGTTTCCTTTCGCACATCTCGGCGCCACATATGCCTATACAGATATGGATTTTGCCACAGATGAATCAGGCGTCTATGTTATATACGCAACCACAAGCAACTTTGGAAATGTGATTATCAGTAAAGTTGAGACTAGTAACCCTCCTGTTTTCAGCCAAACATGGTCCACTTCTCTTCACAAAAGGACTGCCACAAACACCTTCATGGTGTGCGGTGTGCTTTATGCTACTCGTTACCTAGATAAAGAAACAGAAGAGATCTTTTACTCTTATGACACCCAAACCAACGAAGAGCGATACGATTTGAAAATTAACATTAAGAAGATGCAGACTAATATTAAGTATATGAATTATAACCCCAGTGATAATTTGTTGTATGTCTACAGTGATGCCTACATTATGACATATGAAACCATGTTTCAGGAAGTTCACTGAATTATACTGTTTCATGTCTTTTATTTGCCAGTAAATGTAATGATTTTACATATTTCATGTGGTTCTGTAAAGGGAAAATCATTTAAATTGGCTATGTATCACATTTTGGTTCTTGAAATAAAATTTGAGTGAAAAATTAGCGCTGGTTTATTAATCTTTAATAACCCATTGCGTGCTGACACTGCTCTCGGCTGTTTGCAGCGATGTTATTTCAGTTAAACTTTTTGTTAAAGTGAAGGTGAGTGACGCTGATCTGCTTTCCACGCAGATATTTCAAATTAAATTTTTCGATTCCCAGGCAGGATAGTTCGAGGTGTCTACAATTACTTTATATAACAATGATAACAGCTAGATTTTGGGCATTATTCTTTTGTGTATTCTGAATAGGCCTATTTATTTCATGTTTAATATTTAAATTTAGGGTTAGGTAGTTTAGTTATAAACATAACTACCATCATACACAATAAGGCAGACCTGACCCTTTCCTGACCTGAATGCACATGTGCTCTGGGTTTCCTTTTTTGTCCAACTTGAAACACAAGATGTTGTGGTGAGATTGTGAGGCAAAACATTTGCCAATTCATGATTAAATTAAGCTAATCACAGTTAGTGATCATTACAATTTTACTTTGCTCATTGACCTACCAAATGTGTCTACAGAGATAAGACAACACATCCTCTCTTATTTTTTCATTTATCAGTTTTTTCACATGATTTTTAACACATTTCATTATTTTTTGTACACATATAAAATATCTAAGTGACAAAGAATGAAACTGAGAAATTCGCCATCAAATCTTCACCACCATTCATTCATTTCGGTATAATATAGACGTTAAGAAACGGTTGAAAGTTAAAAGCAAGCTCTGTTGCAACAAATGACCTCCACCCAGAAATGATGATGTCTCTCTCACTTTTATTATTTCACCATAATGATGTGTCTTTAAAAATCTTCTGCTGCCAGACAAAGGTGTTTATTCTGAGGTTTTAAGGTTCATTTCATTTAGAGATGACTCTGTCTAATCCATTCATTTTGATGATTATTATTCATTTAAGTTTCTCTCAGGTAAGAACAATAAAGTCACTTTACAATTAATTACTGTGTCTAATATATTGTAGAGTGCTTATATTGTTTGAAAGTGTTTTTATTCTTTTATAATGTATTTTCCTGTCATTTGGTCACCATAGTCAGTGAAAGGAAAAGAATGCGTGTGCGATCTGAAAGATTTAGATCCTCCTTTTCCTATGAATGAACTAATAAATGTAGAGACCACTGCTTTACAATGCATTGAGACCATCACTTCAGAAAAGGTACAAAAAGATATTTAAATGACATATTTTCCTCTCTTATTATATTTCATTAAATTGAGTTTTAACTCATTTAAGTAAAGTAAATTAAATTTCATTAATACATGTAAATGTAAATATGTGCAGATGACAGACTTAGACAGGCTTATGCTGGGTCTACAACAACGCATCAAGCAGGTGGAGGAAAACGTGATCGCGCTAGAAAAGGAGGATGACAGGAATCTGTATGGAGCCGTGTCTCTGCGCATCATTGAGTTAGAGATCGCCGAGATTCAGGACCTCCTCGACAAACTCAACAGGACCACCCAAAATTACCAGCATCTCAGTGTACAGACAGCAGCTCAGGTGACGTGCTGTACAAAAAAGTGCAAATCCATTGCAATGGAAAGTATTTTCTTTCCAAGAAAAAAAGCACTAAAATAATAATCACAAACAGAAATTAAAAATCATGTAAGTTGTTTTAATTATAAATGTAAATAACAGACGACTTAAGTAAATATACATAACAAAACACAACAACCTCAAAGTAACAATCTCATAATATATATATATATATATATATATATATATATATATATATATATATATATATATATATATATATATATATTTTTTTTTTTTTTCTGAGCCTTGAGGTTTAAAGAGAAAATAATCAATATATAATATAGGTAAAACTTCACAATAAATTCTGTTTAGTTAATGCATTATCCAACATGAACTAACAATGAGCAATATATTTTCAAAGCACTCATTAATCTTTGTTAATGTTAGTCAGTGAAAATAGAATTATTCATTGTTTGTTTATGTTAGTTCACACAGCAGTGCATTAACTAATGTTAACAAATGCATCTTTTTATTTTAATAATGTATTACTAAATATTAACATTTACAAAGAATTATAAATGCTGTAGAAGTATTGTTCAATGTTAGTTCATGTTAACTATTGTTAACAAGCTAAACATTATTGTAAAGTGTTACAATGATGTAGATCTTCAAATAGAGGTCAGATAACAATGTAAAAGAAAGTGACCTTTTAAATAAAAAATATGTTAATATAAATTGCCTTAAACCTGGAAACGTTCCACCACGCACATCTGACACTAATGTTAATTAAATGTAGATGATAAAGGATGGGGCATTTTTGCTGTTTTTTTTTTAAATATATATTCTTTCATTACTTGTCTTTTAACTGCCCAAATTCTCATTTTTCATCCTTTCGTAGCTTGAAGCAATGAAAGACACAATGGTGGAGTTGGAGAAGTTTGACAAAATGCAAGTAATTAAGAGAAATAGAGAGAGACACATCAAGAAGAACTTGGAACAGTGTAAAAAAGAGCTCAAGGCTACAGCGGCACCTCCTACAGTTTTCTCAGGTATACGCTAAAGTCCCCAATAGTCCCTTAAAGTCGGCATGAAGTTGAAGTTGCAATAGAATCAGTATCTTCTGAAAAGGCTTCTTGAACAAGAAATAAATGTAGTCTATAGATCTTTATTATGTCCATTGGGAATTGATTTGATGTTTGGATGCTGTGGTGTGCAATAGCTGTGATCTCATGTGAGTGGTTATCCTGCCCTCACTCCAGTTATTTTGATTGAATATTACAAAAGCACATCATTATTAAAAATATAATGATGTGCACAGATAAACTATTTATAATAAACACTGCAATATTCCATAAAAAATAATAGTCCATTTTGATTGAACCGAAGCTTCCTGTGCTTTTTCATTTTTAGCAACTAGGTTGTAAAAAAAAATATATTCGTTTTTTGATTTAATACAGAAATTTGCCAGCTGTACATTACACAGTTTTTCTTCTGTTTTTAGGTCGCTGTGGTCTGGGCCGTGTGGTCAGTGTGGCGGGACCTAGAACGTATTCCCTCACGGTATACAGCACCTCCTATACTTACGGTGCTTGGGGTCGAGATGCAAAGCCGGCTCCAGGAGGCGAGAACAAGTACTGGCTGGTGGTGCTGTCAAGTAGTAATGTATATGGCCACTTTGTTCGCCAGTACAGTACCTTGAGTACTCTTTTATTAGGTATAGGACCAACAGATACATATATATCAAGCACCAACCCCACAACAAATACAATTCAGGGGCCAAACATGGTAATGTACGGCAATGCGCTCTACTATAACTGTTACTACACATACTCCGTCTGTCAGTTCAACATGACGACTCGTGCTGTCAGTACTGTTGCTTTACCCAATGATGCAGGTTACAACAACAAGTTTCCTTTCGCACATCTCGGCACAACATACACCTATACAGATATGGATTTTGCCACAGATGAATCAGGCGTCTATGTTATATACGCAACCACAAGCAACTTTGGAAATGTGATTATCAGTAAAGTTGAGACTAGTAACCCTCCTGTTTTCAACCAAACATGGTCCACTTCTCTTCACAAAAGGACTGCCACAAACACCTTCATGGTGTGCGGTGTGCTTTATGCTACTCGTTACCTAGATAAAGAAACAGAAGAGATCTTTTACTCTTATGACACCCAAACAAAAGAAGAGCGATACGATTTGAGAATTCACATTAAGAAGATGCAGACTAATATTGAGTTTCTAAACTATGACCCCAGAGATCATCTGCTGTACGTCTACAGTGATGCCTACATTCTAACTTATGAGCTCATCTTTCAGTAAGTCTCCAATGAACTTGAACAATGCGCTTGTAATCAATCGCTATAGAAACAAACCTGGGTAACTATGGAGACAAACAAGGCAGCAAAGGAAACAAAGGCAAACAAGTCAAGTCACCTTCATTTAAGTTAAGTTAAGTTTAGTTTATTGTCCTTTCGGAAATTCTTTTTGTGTCTGTGTCACCCTTCAGTCATCACTAACACCAAATGACAAATACAGACAAACATCAAAAATACCTAACCAAAAGTACCTTACAAAATACAACAGACAACAACATTCCTCTCGCAACAGCAAAATCACTGCCAAATATGTCATTTATATCGCGCTTTTGACAATACAGATTGTTTAAAGCAGCTTTACAGTGATAATAGGAAATTATTGCAACAAAGATTGTTTTGGCTGTACAGCAGCTCTAGAATAAAGTTATTGTCTAGCTTAAGTAAGTTTTTTAATTATTACATTTCCCTTGTTATTAACTTAGGGGCCACTTACACGACACCGTTTTCAACTGAAAACAGAAAATGAAAAGCAGGTCCCAGGCACTCAGTCAAGTTTTCAATGAGGAGAAGGATAAAGTTAAAAAGCCTTTATTTAGTATGGCTTAAATCATTTTAAAAGTACACGAGCCAACATGTTTCGACCAACAAGTGGTCTTCTTCAGGTCAAAGTAACACAAAATATGAGAATGACGAAAACAGAAAACCTTTAATGCTTTCTGGCTGTCCATTTACACGACAACGGCATTTTGGTGGCCTGAGAACGCAAACTTTGTAGTAGATTTCAAAGTGCAGGTTTTTGAAATGGGTTTTGAAAGCGATACCGTTATCATCTCCCTGCAAACTTCAAAAACATGAATCTGTGAAAACATTGATGGCATGTACATGCGTGTTATGTGTTTAGTCTAGGCATGCGATGATTCCAAAAAGTCCACATAGTAAAAGATATGTCATTGCAGTCGAGAGCACAAAATATTGTTGATATAGTCACAAGACAATAGTGATAACATTGTTCACAATAGTGAACAAGCTTCCCTAGTTCCGTTTTGCTTGAGAACATCATGAATAGACCAGCACCATACCAGCATAATCCAGCCTGGACCAGCACTATACCATCACTAACCAGCATACTGCAATTTGTCACCTGTTATTACTTAATTCCTGTGATTCTTATGATCCCCGTTTCAGTATTCCTTCGTCTTTTCTTTTACTCCAGCGTCCCTCCAGTGTTTCCTCTGTTCCTGTAAGACAAAATACATTGTATATTATTCTCCAATCTAATGGCAACTAGAGGTGTGTATGGATTCACTCACCATTTGAAGTCACAATCACGTTATTCACCTGCAATACCATGAACTGCATTATTATATAAGCATTTACCATCATCTGTGATCATCATCACTTACCCGTTTGTGATTGCTGTTCAATAAAGCACTGTGTTGTCACTGATCCACCTCTCTCTGTGTCTGCTATCTCCTAACAGAATTTTTCAGCAGGTTTCTCAAATGGTTTGGCCATGGGTCTCACATTTCCCCATGATCATTTAGCCACAACTCAATTTAAATTGTTCAAAATTAAGTTGGCTCAACTCAATGATTAATATTTAGAATTTAAATTGTTCAAAATTAAGTTGGCCCAACTCAATTTAAATTGTTCAAAATGAAGTTGGCTCAACTCAATAATTAATATTTAGAATTTAAAATTTCCTAAATTAAATTGGCCCAACTCAATAATTAATATTTAAAATTTAGATTTTCTAAAATTAAGTTGGCCCAACTCAATTTAAATTGTTCAAAAATTAAGTTGATCCAACTCAATAATTAATATTTAGAATTACAATTTTCCAAAATTGAGTTGGCCCAACTCAATTTAAATTGTTCAAAAATTAAGTTGGCTCAACTCAATAATTAAAATTTAGAATCAAAATTTTCCAAAAATGAGTTGGCCCAACTCAATAATTAATATTTAGAATTTAAATTTTCCAAAATTAAGTTGGCCCAACTCAAAAATTAATATTTAGAATTTAAATTTTCTAAAAAATTAAGTTGGCCCAACTCAATTTAAATTGTTCAAAATTAAGTTGATCCAACTCAATTAAATTAAGTTGGCCGAACTCAAAAATTAATATATAGAATTAAAAATTACCAAAGTTGAGTTAGCCCAACTCAATTTAAATTGTTTAAATTAAGTTGGCCCAACTCAATTAAATTAATTTGGCCGAACTCAATAATTAATATTTAGAATTAAAAATTACCAAAATTGAGTTAGCCCAACTCAATTTAAATTGTTCCAAATTAAGTTGGCTCAACTCAATAATTAATATTTAGAATTTAAATTTTCTAAAATTAAGTTGGCCCAACTCGATAATTAATATTTAGAATTAAAATTTTCCAAAATTGAGTTGGCCCAACTCAATTTAAATTGTTCAAAATTAAGTTGGCCCAACTCAATTTAAATTTTCAAAAATCAAGTTGGCCCAACTCAAAAATTAATATTTAGAATTTAAATTTTCTAAAAGTAAGTTGGCCCAACTCAATTTAAATTGTTCAAGATTAAGTTGATCCAACTCAATAATTAATATTTAGAATTTAAATTTTCCAAAATTAAGTTGGCCCAACTCAATTTAAATTGTTCAAAATTAAGTTGGCCCAACTCAATAATTAATATTTAGAATTAAAAATTACCAAAATTGAGTTAGCCCAACTCAATTTAAATTGTTCAAAATTAAGTTGGCTCAACTCAATAATTAATATTTAGAATTTAAATTTTCTAAAATTAAGTTGGCCCAACTCAATTTAAATTTTCCAAAATTAAGTTGGCCCAACTCAATAATTAATATTTAGAATTAAAATTACCAAAATTGAGTTAGCCCAACTCAATTTAAATCGTTCAAAATTAGGTTGGCCCAACTCAATAATTAATATTTAGAATTAAAATTTTCCAAAATTGAGTTAGCCCAACTCAATTTAAATTGTTCAAAATTAAAGGTGCAGTGTGTGATTTTTAGCGACATCTAGCGGTTAGGTTGCAAGTTGCACTAAGGGCTCAGCCCACTGCTCACCCCTCCCTTTCGAAGAAGCTACGGTGGCTAAAACGGGACAAACATATCGTCGCCTGAGACAGCAAAGAATAGCCAGAGCAAGCCAAGAGTGTGTAACATTGTCACTGTTTCTGTACCACAGTCCATTATAAACTACATCATGGATAAAATTTACAAAGCCATAGTCAGGTGAGGATCAAGGGTCTTAATATATAATATAATAATAGTAATCAGCTGACTGTCTCACAAACGTAACCCGCACATTTCTCCCCACATAGCAAACCCATAATACAGTGAGGGAGAAGAACCACATGAAACTATGCAACTATATATTTTTTCTAACAGGGTAGTAAAAGTTTAGCTGGCTAATATGAGCTGTTACTGTGGCTGAGCTGGTTAAAGCGTAAAGCCTTGTTTATACTCGACGCGTCCGCATGAGCCCAAAGGTGCGTGCGGCAAAAATGACATGATTGTAACAGCGCCCGCGCCTCCGCATCCCCTAGACACCATTTACTACACACAATAGACTTTTTTTCTCTGATTTTGAAAACTCTTCGCGATCGACTAAAAATGCTTCCAAGATCGACTTGTCAACCGCGATCGACGGTTTGGTGATTCCTGTAACATACTGTTTTACGGTCAATGACAAGAGTACTAATCAGCTGTCTCACGAACGTAACCAGCACATTTATCCCCACATAGCAAAGCCATAACACAGCGAGGGAGAAGAACTAAGTTACATGAAACAATCCAACTACATATTTTACACCACTGACAAGGGAAAAGTCACTACTCACGGTGTCTATGGCTTCTAGCTTTCTGCTGCTTCTCTTTCAAGGTATGAACGAAACGCGCTCTGTAGTGCTGTTTGTTCGCTGTCAGCTACGGTAGAAACATGACCTCACAATATGTCGACCTTCATAGAAGGGGGTGCCCTTCTATGTAGATATAAATGTCTCATTCTAAGGTAATAAAAACATTTTGGTTTATTAAGTTCTTTATACACCACTGAACACATAGTTATGGATTTCATATTGCATTTCTGTTAATAGATACTCAAAATTATTACACATTGCACCTTTAAGTTGGCTCAACTCAATAATTAATGTTTAGAATTTAAAATTTCTAAAATTAAGTTGGCCCACCTCAATTTAAATTTTCCAAAATCAAGTTGGCCCAACTCAATAATTATTATTTACAATAAAAAAAAAATCCAAAATTGAGTTGGCCCAACTCAATTAAATTAAGTTGACCCAACTCAATAATTAATATTAAGAATTTAATTTTTCCAAAATTGAGTTGGCCCAACTCAATAATTAATAGAACTAAAATTTTCCAAAATTGAGTTGGCCCACCTCAATTTAAATTTTCCAAAATCAAGTTGGCCCAACTCAAAAATTAATATTTAGAATAAAAAAAATACCAAAATTGAGTTGGCCCAACTCAATTAAATTAAGTTGACCCAACTCAATAATTAATATTTAGAATTAAAAAAAAATCCAAAATTGAGTTGGCCCAACTCAATTAAATTAAGTTGACCCAACTCAATAATTAATATTTAGAATTAAAATTTTCCAAAATTGAGTTGGCCCAACTCAATTTAAATTTTCCAAAATTCAGTTGGCCAAGCTCAATAATTAATATTTAGAATTAAATTTTACCAAAATTGAGTTGGCCCAACTCAATTTAAATTGTCCAAAATTAAGTTGACCCAACTCAATAATTAATATTTAGAATTAAAATTTTCCAAAATTGAGTTGGCCCAACTCAATTTAAATTGTTTAAAATGTCAAACATCTATGTCTACATAGTCTAACATCAAAATGTTAATGTCTTCTGTAGATTTTGATCTTTATAAGTTATGATAGGCGTATATTTTTAATGAAAACACATTAAAAAAAAACTTTTTATTACCAAATATACTATTAATAAGACGGGTGACCCAAAATACACATATTATAACAAATAAATAAAAGATATTTGGAAATTGCCCTTTAAAACGAAGGCTCAGTTTGTGGAAAACTGTTCACTATTATTTTATTGAAAACAATAAAACAAAGACAAAGTCACATTTTAAACACTTTTTTTTTATTACGCTCCGCTCCCGCTCTGCGCTGTCTAGCGCAGCACCACACAGATTTAACTCCGCACAGCTAAATAAAACAGGCTGGTGGCAGACTAATATTTAATATTTCTGATGTAAATATTTCTGTGAAACGCGTTAAGTTGCACAGAAAAAAGACCAATCTAGGACCTGCCCTGTACAGTTTAAGAAGCCGTAGTAGAGGACTTATTATTTATTTATTTTTATTATTATTTTTTAAAATTACAATAGTGCAAACACACATCTTTTAGAAATCTAAAACATTTCCAACAATGTATATATTAAACAAGTAAACTCATTCTTGAACAATCATAGCACAAAAATGGAAAGAGCTAAACAAAGAAGACAAAAAGGGGGGAAAAAAGAAACAGATATTAATAATCATGGTACATAAACTATCTCTATATTTCTTCAAAAAAGAAGTACATTTTCTATTATCAATTATTCCTAGTGATTTGATTAAATATTTTACTTCACATAAGAAATCTTTAAAAGTAGGAATTTTCTTAAGAAACCTTTGTTTGTGAAAGTAAAAGTTTGCCACAAGGTCAAGGATAAGGAAGATTAGATTCTAAAGATTTGTTTGGGTTTTCAAAAAGACAAATTACATCCTTAATGGGTAGAACCGTTGAGGACTATTATTTTGTTGAACAGACCTGAGCGATGACTGATGACTTCACATGCTCAGATTTACTTGACCAATCAGCCGAAGGGGGCGTCTTATGACCGCCCACATGTGGAAAACTAATTTTGAAGTCATGTATTCGTTTTATGCAAAAAAATTGGAAAAAATGAATAAAGGTGCCGTTTTCTAATTTCTGCTTATTTCATTTCAAATTGGAAATCAAATGATCGGATGATACACGGACCATGCAGTAGCATTTCTGGACCTTTTTTCTACTCACCAGAAAGCGCATGGGATCCAGTCAGTTTTTTTCAGGGTTGTTTTAAGCAAAATTGAATCAGCAATGTACAGACCAGGGTGTAAGTATGCAATAAAACTACAGCACATATGCTTCAATTAACCGATCAAGCATGTGATAAAAAAGGCCTTTCTTTTTGCAGCAATGCCGGATAGGAAAATGAACATCGACTGTCAAGAGATCACATTTTGTCTATTGCAGTATGTGTTGTGACATTAAAGTACTGAAAGAAAGTGTGCAGTTCGCAACAGTATTTAGTAAAAAAATTAAAAAAAGAAATAAAATAAAAAAGACACTGACAGAGAAGTGCTGTATTTAAAGCATATTTATTAAGCATTTGTTAATCTGTATTAAGAACATTTATTGCAAAATTAGACAAAATCAATTCAAAAGACTCACAGTCACATAACGATATAGCACAAAAAATCTAGATTAACCACTGCATATTTTGAGATTTTCTGCATGCTATGCAATTTGGACTGAAATAAACTATATGGTATTGCTTTTTTTCTTAGCTGCAAGACTCTAGTATGAATATGAAAGACTCTCAGTTGAAGGTGTTATATGCTAACAGATAGGCATCATTATACATGTAAAGTCTCCTGTCAACAGGATTGTAGTTCAGATTGGCTATTCCAGCAGAAACCTTCTCAAAAGGCAAAGAAAGAGTGTTTATCTCTTGGCCAGTGGTTGTATCAAAGGCATAAAACACCTCTTCTTGGTAAGTACTAACATAGCGTGTAGCGTACAGGACCCCGCACACCATAAACGTGCTGGTGACGGACCTCTTAAAGAGATGTGTCTTCCAGGTGTGTGTGATATTGAGCTCCAGCGGGTCTAAGCGACTCACAACAATGTTGCCGCGGTTCTCCTCGGTGGCGTATATCACCCACACGGCGTCTCGGTCAGCCTCCAGGTCGATGTCTGTCCAGTCACGGCAGCTGTAGTAGCAGAAAGGGAACTGGTTGTCGATTCCAGCACCATCCAGTTTTACACGCTTGGTTGCTTGTGTTGTAATGTTAAAGCTACAGATCTCAGCGGTGCTGTAGCATTGGTAAAATACGGTATTGTCGTACAGTATAGTGCCAGAGCCCTGAACAGCATTTTTGTGGCTGTAGGATGCTGCGATGTATTCATCTTTGTAGTTCTTGCTGGCCATGAAATCTTCGTACAAGTTGTACATCCTGATTGTGTTCCCATGCTTGTGTCCACTCACCAGACAGTGTTCCCAATAACGTTCCTTGCTGTTCGGTTTGGCCTCCCTACCCCAAGCACCAGAGATATAGGACTTGCTGATGGAATTGAGCTTGGTGACAACTGGAGAACTTATGTTGGACATAATACGCTGATGACAAGTGCCTGCAAGTGCATCGTATGGATTGGTCATATGTTCAATATTCAGGTAAACATTTTTTTTACAGTCTCTTCCAGTTTTCACAATGCTTTTAAAAACATCAATGAGATCACAACATAAATTTAAAAACCTTTCTCCTCTCATTGAGAGTCCTGTACTTACTTCTAAAGTCTTCAGGTATACTTTTGCAGTTCTGTGCTCTGTTGTTGAGGTCACGTAGCCTCGTTTTCATTGTCTCTAGATTGAAGACATTGCTTTTGTACATGTTCTGGATGTCCTTCTTTGCCCTAGTCAACTGAGAGAAACAGAATACAGAAACATTGTCAACATATCTTTGAATCCATTCAGAAATCTGTTTTTCATCTTCCATTTTTTGGCGAATCTTTTGTTCATTTGCAATTAATGAATTTTCAATTCATGGAACTTCAATGAGGAGCAAACCGTAATCAGAAAGTATTTTCTGCCACTTCTGATTTTTGGATACGAATGCAGACTAAACATGAGCTTTGAACAACAGTTATCATTGAATAATGTCTTAGATTTAAATGTTTCTCATTCAAAACTATCATATGACTTCAGAAGACTTGTAGCAAGCATTGTTATTGTTGACTAAAACTACTAAAAATAGTTTTTGGTAATTGAAATAAAGCTTTATATATATATACATATACATACATACACACACAAACAAATATAATATAATACAATTACCACTGTAAACATATAAAAATGAAAACTAATACAGAATTGTAATAAATATTTTAATAGAAACACTAAAATAACATGACAAATCATATGGACTACTTTTATAGTGCTTTTTTATGTTGTTTGGGTATTTTTTGGAGACCTGTCACTATTTTAAGAAAGATCTACCTCCTTCAGAAGGTCATTGGTCTCTTTGCTGGGGCTTTTCTTGTGAGCATCACTGGCAGTATAATAGATTTCGTCAAGTTCCTCCATCAGCTGTCGCAGGTGAAGGGCGTTGTACAGGCCGTTTGTGTTCAGATACTCAAACGGTTTCAGGCGGGCTGTGATCTCCTTAAGTGTGAGTTCCATCTTTGGCAGTTGTACATTTCTGTCCTTTACCTGGAAGTTTACAACGCAAATGAGTTCACTGACATTATTTACTTCAAGAATGAATCTACAGTATGACTTTAAAGGATCTCACCTTTTTATGAAACTGTATAAGGTTGTCCTCACAGGTCTGGACTTGATTTGCGACTCCCTCGAACTTCACAGTGGGGAAAGCCCAGATAGAGCTGCTTAATTTACACACGCAGGAACCATTCTTCTCTTCACCTGGAATTCTCTGAGCCTGGACAGTCGCCTGATTACACACATAAACACATGAAAACACAAGATATTGGATGCAATTCACAATTCACGCATTTTACTGAATATTTGCCTTTAATTATAGTTAAACAATTACATGGCAACTCATTTCGGTATCATTCGGTAACCCTTCATGAGTTTAATTTTAACAAAAAAACATTTTTAACTTTATTTTATTGTATTATAACAAGTTATTCAAATAAAATAACCTTGTTCATTGTAAATAACAAGTTATTTAAATAAAATAACCTTGTTAATTGTTACCTTAATTAATGCTTCAATAATTTTTGGGAGTCAAATAATGAGATCTATTATATAACCACTGTAATATGTATAGAAAATAATTATAATAAATATAAATAAACAATACTGTAAATTCATATTTAATTTTATAAACATATATAGACACATCCATATCATTTAACTAACATATTAGTACAAATTCATTTTATTCAGTTAAAAAAACATTCCAAATAAGACATTAAAGAAATCCAAACCATATTAAAGATGGGACTTACTGTGACTGTGAGGACCAACAGGTACGAGAGCATGATGAGCAAATAACCCCCGAAAGGCTAAAAGTCCTGCTTTAAACAACACAAACATTTTGATGTTGCAAATACATAAAGTATTACAAAAGAACTTTAGAAGAAAAAAAACAAACCTACACACCTCTCACAAAAAAATCTGCAATATCACCGTTGTGGTCAGACAGACTGTGGGGCAAAACAAACGTCGAAAATTTGTCAGTTCATGGCAACGCAGTAAACAATACAATTTTCCATGGACCTACTGAAGGTGTCCACAAAGATAAGACGAAGATTGCAACAAACTGTTCCACCCACAGAAATAAAGAAGTATCTCTCACTTTTCACGTTATTTCACCATAATGATATGGCTTTAAAACTCTGCTGCTGCTACCAAACATTGTTTATTATAGAGTCCACTTTCTACAGACATGAGTCAGTCTATATTCATTTTGTTGATCCTCATTCCTCTAACTTTCACTCAGGTAAGAAAGAAATCAACACTATATTTTCTTACATGCATTCAAAATTATGTGCTTTTGCTTGTTTTATATAATTGTTCCTGTCATTTGGTAATCACAGTCAGTGAGAGGGAAGGACTGTGTGTGCGATCTAAAAAATTCAGATCCTGCTTTCCCTGAGAAAAAACTCAAGAACGTAGAAACCTCTGCCTTACAATGCACTAGGACCATCACTTCAGAAAAGGTAGAATACAATTATTTACAAGTATATTTTTTCTCTCATTTTATCTGTTGTTCAAACCTATTTTAAATAACTAAATGTAATACAATTAATAATGTTAATGTAAATATCTGCAGATGACAGACTTAGACAGGCTTATGCTGGGTCTACAACAACGCATCAAGCAGGTGGAGGAAAACGTGATCGCGCTAGAAAAGGAGGATGACAGGAATCTATATGGAGCCGTGTCTCTGCGCATCATTGAGTTAGAGATCGCCGAGATTCAGGACCTCCTCGACAAACTTAACAGGACCACCCAAAATTACCACCATCTCAGTGTACAGACAGCAGCTCAGGTGACGTGCTGTACAATTTTTTTTTCTAATATTAATAATTTATTTGGTTCTTTTGTGTTTCTATAATAATTACTTTCTGCATAAAAAAATATCCAAGTTTTAATAGGCTCATCTGTTGTCTTGAAACAACAGATATAGAGGTTAAAAAAATGTACTATGTGATATTTTTCTTAAAGCTTGAAGATATGAAAGACGCAATGGCGGAACTGGAGAAGTTTGACAACATGCAGGTGATAAAGACAAATAGAGAGAACCAGCGGGTTAAGAGGGACCTGGAACAGTGTAAAGAAGAGCTCAATGCTACATCAGCACCTCCTACAGTTCCCCCAGGTTTGCTAAGACCCCATTAATCGCTTAACTCAAGCTTTCTGAGCTTTTTCATTATTAACCACAGCAGAAAGTCTTACGTTTGTGTTTCTCTTTGCAGCCCGCTGTGGTCTGGGCCGTGTGGTCAGTGTGGCGGGACCTAGAACGTATTCCCTCACGGTATACAGTACCTCCTATACTTACGGTGCTTGGGGTCGAGATGCAAAGCCGGCTCCAGGAGGCGAGAACAAGTACTGGCTGGTGGTGCTGTCAAGTAGTAATGTTTATGGCCACTTTGTTCGCCAGTACAGTACCTTGAGTACTCTTTTATTAGGTATAGGACCAACAGATACATATATATCAAGCACCAACCCCACAACAAATACAATTCAGGGGCCAAACATGGTAATGTACGGCAATGCGCTCTACTATAACTGTTACTACACATACTCCGTCTGTCAGTTCAACATGACGACTCGTGCTGTCAGTACTGTTGCTTTACCTAAAGATACAGGTTACAACAGCATTTTTCCTTTCGCACATCTCGGCACAACATACACCTATACAGATATGGATTTTGCCACAGATGAATCAGGCGTCTATGTTATATACGCAACCACAAGCAACTTTGGAAATGTGATTATCAGTAAAGTTGAGACTAGTAACCCTCCTGTTTTCAACCAAACATGGTCCACTTCTCTTCACAAAAGGACTGCCACAAACACCTTCATGGTGTGCGGTGTGCTTTATGCTACTCGTTACCTAGATAAAGAAACAGAAGAGATCTTTTACTCTTATGACACCAAGACAAAAGAAGAGCGCTTTGATTTGAAAATTAATATTAAGAAGATGCAGACTAATATTGAGTTTCTAAACTATGACCCCAGAGATCATCTGCTGTACGTCTACAGTGATGCCTACATTCTAACTTATGAGCTCATCTTTCAGTAAGTCTCCAGTTATTTGAGAAATGACTATAGCTGCATCTCATTTCACATACTTTCTGTACTAAATATGCAAGATTAGAAATAGTACATTGCAAATGATCGTACAGATCGTACGAAGATAGTAGATTTTTTTTTTAAGTGTGTATTTGCAGGGTTAAGATAATTAAGTTAAATGCTAATGCAAGGCAATGAATATGTCAGTTGCTAATTTTAAAACAGATTATATCTACTTTCAAAGAGTCTGTGGTATCGATCAAATTTGGTCCCACTTTAAATTAGGTGTCTTTAACTATGTACTTGAAATTTAAATTAATCATTTGATACAATACACTTATTGTGTACATAAATGTTTTTACACTAAACTTATATTGTAAAAATACAATTTTTTTGTAATTACAGCTGCTAATTTCTGTAATTGCATCTATGATTACCCCGTTGACCCTTCCCTTACCCCTTAACCCTCCCTTAAACCTAACCATACCACCAAACCTGTCCCTGACCTCCTTACCCAAATCTCACCTCAGTAGCAGCAAAAGTGTTTTGAAATATAATATGAACACACGTGCATTGTACTATTTTTTATGAAAGTACATAGTATTAACAATACCTAATATAAAGTGTGACTAGAAATTTCAGTAAATACATGCCTTATCATATTATATTAAAAGGTATATACATTCCCATCACCAATGAAGTATGTACATTTACTGTACAGAAGTATGTTAATTGAAATGCAGCTTATGAATGTTTTTTTCGCTGCATAATTTTTCACTGCATCTTTAAATGCTTTGTTATGCATGTGAGGTGAAGAAATTCACAAATGTATCGCATATTTTGTTTCTTGAAATAAATTACAGCAAAGTTGATCAAATGTGTGCGCTGGATTACTACTGCAGACAAATTATGACAAGAACAATTATGACAAAAAGTTTATGATGTCATAACATACTTTTTATCTAATAATTATGCTTGCCCATCTTTTTTTCAAATGTGGCAGAAATAGGTTTCCATAAAAGCAACTTAGAACTATTTATATATACTAATATATATGTGTGTATGTGTGTGTGTGTGTGTGTGTGTGTGTGTGTGTGTGTGTGTGTGTGTGTGTGTGTGTGTGTGTGTGTGTGTGTGTGTGTGTGTGTGTGTGTGTGTGTGTGTGTGTGTGTGTGTGTGTGTGTGTGTGTGTGTGTGTGTGTGTGTGTGTTTCTTGGGTGTCGATACAAGCCAAGCTCCAAGAAAATAACTAAAAGACCTGATCCTGTTTGTACATCCATTTTTATTTGTTGCACGTTCATATTTGTAGTACACAGACAGTGACAGCTTGTTTATAGATGTACATATTACATAAACACATTATTTTTCATAGTTGTCTTATGGTAAAGCAGGTTAAGAGTGACTCCTACTGTTTCTTTAGACATATTTGTAACAACCATCCCCCTTCCAGAAAAAAAAACATCAACAACCTACTTATTGCTTAATATAAAACAATGGCTAATCGTAACAATTGTAATCATATTATTAATAATAATACTCATTGAATTCTCACAAGAAGAGATGCAACACGTGGTTAAATAAGAATTACTATATTATAAAAAAAGGAACTCAAGGAAAATCCAAAGTATAACAGTTCCACATGACAAAGCTAGTGGTACGGACCTATTTTTAGATTTACGCCCTAAAAACAGCAAGTAGGCTATCTACAGCGTAGAAGATAGACTGAGAAATGAAGGGTTGAAAGGGAAGGCAGGTGTGGCAGGTCAAACTGGTGCAAGCCCTGATTCGAGTAAAGGTGATACGGGGCCACGGCCACATCGACAATACTGTACAGCACTTCCAAAGGACATTATACATTCAGGGCCCCCGGGCAGAGATCAGGGATCGGAGAAAAAAATTTACCTTTGAAAGGTGGGCATGCTCTTTATCTCTTAATAAGAGCTGACGACTGCATACTTCAGACAGGAAATCAGGAAAACAACTATTAATCATCAAAACTCATGCAAATCAATACTGGGGAAGAACACGTTTGTCTATTGAGTCTTTAGGAGGAAACCTGTCGATATTTTGAATTTGTCTTTAACCCTCCCGCTTTGAACACCCTCCATGGGTCCTTTCGTTCCATCTCTCCCTCTCTTTCTTTTTTCACATTTCACTGTTTATTCCGTTTCATGCATTCATCTCTCTCTTTGTACAGTATCTACAGTACTGCGCCCAGCTTTGCACGGAGTGAGGTCGGTCACGATGCGTTGCCTGGGTCGATAGCCCTTTGGGGGCGACTGGAAGTGTCTGTGAGGGGCGGGGCACCTTGTTTTTGGGGGTTGGGTTTGTTGGGGGGTGGGATTTGCCTTACATTCCGAGCTTGGAGCGACATGCTCCAGAAAGCCCCGCCCCTTACAGACAAACACACAGGAAACACCCCGGAAAAGTTGTAATTGTGCACTTCCTGTTTGAGGAAGCTGCAGGAAAACTGACATTCAATAAGACAGAAAAGAGCGAGTGTGGAATGGAAAGTCAATGGTTGCTTCGCCCTCGTGAGTCCCATGTTAGCAGCTCCGGCCAATCAGATCTGAGCTCATGTCAGTCACCTCTGAAAGTTAATTCAATTTCATTCATTTATTTGTTCAATCATATATTTGCCCATTTATTTAGTTTGTTCGCTGATTTGTTCATTCATTAATTTTTTCCTTCATTCATGTGAATGTTGGTGGTGTTTTTTTCCGATTATTGTGTGCGGTTTGTACACATACATCAACAACAGATCTTTCCAATAATGGACCTTTTTCACAGACTGAGATGGCACATCCCACAGTTAAATCTAGCATTTTTTATATTTTAATTTTAAAAACATTTCATGTTATAACACTATACTTTGTGTTATATTACTTGGCATTCAATTTCAGAAAACTAGGTAATGCTGATGTGCGAGTGTTTCTAATACAACGGCTGATGGAGTGATGGAAAATATCTTTCTTCTGACCACTGTAATCAATCTCTCATTTTTTCTTGCTACAAATGCTTTTTTTTTTCTTTTCTTTTTTTTGCTATTGGAGTCAAGTGGAATGCAAAAACAATTATTTGTTGTAGTTTCCATTCACAACTAGAAAAGTTTACTCAACTATGTTGACTAAGAGCCGTGTGAAAAGGTCCATTGAGAAAAGGGTCCACTGTAAAATAGCACAAAAAAATAACTAAATGTGAATGTACAGATCTAAATTATGAAACAAGCTTGCACTTTGTAGTTACAATCACATTTAAATAACTTAATATATTGCTTGATTCTAATACACGTGAATCCTTCAGTGTCATTTGCAAGCAGCATGAGTACACATGAATATTGAGTGTGTGTGCAAGTATATGCACACAAAAGCTGTTACCTTGCAGAGCCCAGCCCTCATTGGAAAATGTATGTGTACATTCGTGTGTGCATTTCTATCAGTAGCTTTGGTATATTCTTCGTGCGGGGCTGGGTGCTGTAAGGGAAGCGGGAGGCCTTGATTCTGTACCATTAACGCACTGAAAACCCTATCACACAGGCTTTGCCTCAGTCGATGGTTCCGAAGCTGATTGTCTATAAAAAGGAGATTGTACAGAAACGATCCCAGGCAAAGCCACTTTTATATGACAGTGAGTGCACACTAAAAGGGTATTTGTGTCGGACCATATATTGTCTTTTATGATGTAAGACTTGAAAGTGAATGGCAAAATGAAGCAGTCTAACATGGCAAATCAGTGGTCAAGTCATACAACTTCTGCTCCTACTTTAATGGGGAAAACCTGTTTAAAACTGTTTTTCATACTTCATTTACATATTTAGCTCAAATAATGCAAATAAAACTTCTTCCTTACAGTATGAGGTGATACATACACTCCCAATGACTGAATGAGCTGAGATGATTAGCCGAAAGCAACTGTTTACTGGTTATGAGATTTTCGCCCTCTTCGACTATACAATCGCTTTGATTTCGTTCATAATTGAGAGGGAGAGCATAACACGGTTACAAATGTCACTCATAAATCACCCTCTGGTTTAAGAACCTTCCCTTCTTCTTTCTCTTGCTTTGTTTCGTCCTCTTCCTCAGGACCAACCCCCTCTACCTGCGATCCAATCCATCAGTTACTCCTCAAAGACTGTCATAGGACAGGGATGAGTGAGAGCAGGGGCTGATGGGACTTGTAGTTTTGTCTTAGGAGAAGGTGAAGGCCGGAGGCAGCAAGCGAAGGGTGCAGAAACACTGACACATTGAGCGTTAAGAATCCGTGTTACAAAATCGGGGGAAACCAAACACTGCTCTGAAGAGGAAAATGATAGCAAGTCTTAATTTTTACAGGTTAAAGGAAAAGTTCAACTCAAAATAAAAACCCTTTTCTATGTCTTTCTTTATTCTGTGGAACACAAAAGCAGATGTTTAGTAGAATGTCCAAGCTGCTCTCTTCCATTCAATGGAAGTGGATGGGGACCAAGTGTTGTCTTGCTCCTAAAGCGACAAAGCACTATGCAAGCATCATAAAGGTGGTGCATATGACCTGTCAAGTCTTCTGAAGCCAATTCACGAAAAAAAAGTTGTTATTCACTGCAAACAAGTTGTGGTCACCATTCACTTTCATTATTTCGAAAACAGTAGCTTGGACTATATATATATATATATCATTTTGTGTTCTACAAAAGAAATAAAGTCAGACAGGTTTTTGAAGACTTCTGGGTGATTAAATAATTGAAGTATTTTTCATTTCTGGATGAACTAATCCTTTATGAGGGCTAACACTGAAAAACTGAGAGAAAGGGACATAGAAAATGGCTGAGAAAGAAAGAATGAAAGCAGTATGAGACCTTCATTCTTCTCACGCTCTCCTTCCATGCCACGTCTCTCTAAATGTGTGCGTGTGAGACAGTGCACGAGGGTTCAGCAGGACACTTCCATGGTGTGGCTGACCTGCCCAACTCCCTCACTGCTATCTGAGTTTGTGCATGCACGGTTGCGAGAACCATCCACGGAGCCGGCGCTGGTCAGAGAAGCTGTCCGAGAGCGAACAAGACGGGTCATACTGGCCGAAGGCACTGAGAGAAAAAGAGAGAAAGAGAGATGAGTAGTCATTTCATATCCACAAAGTTCATCTTGGGCTGCATGATGTGTTGCAGAGGAGGCAGGGATGGCATGCTTGAACTTTTGGTCGAGAATAATTTCAGCCTCAAGCTGATAACATTCCACCGCAAATACACCAGAATGACTCAAATCCAACAAAAAAAATATCCAATCATAATCTCTATATCTAAATGCCCATGGTTTCCGTGCAAAAAGTCATTTTCTTAATAGGTATTTTTCTTGTTTTTCAGTAAAAATCAATATCTAAACATATACACGCAAAATTGTGTAACAATTTCATTTTTATTTACATATTTTCATTTTCGATTTCACTTCCCTTATCCCATTTGAATATTTCACTTTGTTTTAAACATAAATCAACCATTTAGATTTTTGATCAAAACAAGAAAAACATTTTGTGAATAGGGCAAAAAAAAGATTTTATATAGTATTAATATTTTATGCACTAAGTAATTGTGTCTGATTTTATGTTTAGATATTTGTACTGAAAATAAGAAAATATTGTCATTGACTATTTTCTGTTTCATTCCAATAAATCTGAAACAGAAAATAGTATGTAAAAATATATAAATATTATAAATATATAAAAAAAAAAAATACAAAATACAAAAGATCTTGCAGCCTACGAACGCTCTTTTAAAGGTGAAATTTCAGGAAAAGGGTGCATATTTTTATATATTTGAAACTTTTAAAAATAATTCTAAGCTAAAAAATATATATTTCATGTTATTTTAGTCTAAGTTTATGTTTTCAAATAACTGCCATGCAGAGAGCTTGAGAGCGCATTCAAAGCACATTTTTCCTCCAGAGGAAAAATCACTGGTCAATAAAGGAAATAATGAATGAATGGAAATATCAGTCAGGGAAGGACAAATACATGAATTAATCAAGGCCAATCAAAAAAGCAAGGGATTAGAAGACTAAACTACATGTATCATCAACATGAGGAAGAGGGCAGGCGTGAACAGGAAGCAGGAAGTACCTGGCCCCCCACTCATTCTCCGATCCTTCACATAAGCAACTGAGAAAGGGCAGGAAAATACACATATAGTACAGATTATAACAAATACAACACCTCCACACAGACATTTATTTACATGCATACACTCACAACTGTCTCAAAATGGGATAAAGACACACATGGGAGAAAGGACACAAAATATTGGATCGGTTTACATTTGGCAGTGAAAGAATCATTAAATGAACTGATTTTGGTGCTGATTTGCCCTGAAACATTTGTTAGTAAATACATTGACAGTCAAAATGATATTAAATGAATTAGACTTACTGTAGCCCATTCCCTGCAGGAAGTACTTGAAAGCCTCTGTTAGTTTCCCAGGCTGTAAAAAAAAAAAGAAAGAAAGTATGATCGAGACTTCAGGTTCAATTGCAAAAAGGACTGTGACGTGTTTTTTCTACAGCATTTTTTTGGCTGCTGAGATCATTAAATTATACAATTTGCTTTGTTTTTCCTTATTTGTTTTATAAAAAATTTTAGGGACATTTTTATTACTTTTGTACAATACAAATTCTGGTACAGTGTTGGGTCACCCTTGTAATGGACTATTTGTTAAAGACTGATCTGAGATCAGACACGTCAAGCAGTCTCACCTGTGTAATTTGAGGCATTCCGCCTGAATCAGCCATCTGAAAGAAAACAAATACTTTTTTTAATCATATATTTCTGAAAATGTATATGCCAAAATGTTCAAAGTGAAAAGTTTTGCCTCTATTTCTACAGTATGTTTGTTCACTTGCCTTCAGGAATGTGGTGTTGGTTGGATCCAGCTTTGAGTTGCACTCAACCTTAGAATAGAAAGCATTTATACTGTTTTTAACAAAAATGTAAATGTACGAATGTATCAGTGCATTTACAGAGTTTTTTATAAAGAAAAAGAAAAGTCAGAGAAGATAAAAACAAGTTTTTCAAAAGGCAGTTGAATGATGGGCAGTAAAATGGATGGTGTGATGGAGGGAGGAGATTATACTGTATATATATATGGAGTACGTATGTGTGTTCTTGAGGTCTGTCCCAGTTACAGCGGCACTGCAGAGATGACTCATATTCCAGCTCTAAGGAAAGACAGCTGCGCAGACGCATCTGTCTGCAGGCTCTGTTCGACCGGCGCTGACACTTTTGGAATGGGATAGGTGCCACTTTTGAACATGTTCACGATTCTAATGAAAACTTCCACCACAAGTGTCTGCATTAGTCAATGGATGTGATACTGATGGTAGCAACCCATCTTTCCTCTATGTGTACTTCCCCCAACCAATATACTGTATATAATATATATCATTTTTATAGACGTTTAATAATTTAAAATAATTTTTGTATATGGATGTTTTAGAACAGAAACTGGAGTAAAACCAGACAATTAATAGTACTGTTATTGTTACTATTATTATAAAATGGGGAATATTGTAATAATTAGAAATGAGTAGGTGCGTCCAAACGATTCACTGGTAGCATCTTGCTTTTCTGATCTGTCATTTTTCTCAGAATTTTCCTTGCTTTATTTATTTATTTTTGTGTTAATCTCTTACTCATCCTTCTGTTGTTTCTTCTGGTCCAACCTTTTCATCTTCCTCCTCTTGACCCAAATTACTCAAATCCTTCGCTTCTCTCATCCTTTTGTCATTTACCTCTCACTCATCCATCTTATCCCTTCACCGTGTCCCTCTTTTCCCTCATCTCTCACCCTGTGTGTCTGATTAGATGTGATGGGGCACTAACCCAACTTTCATATGTTAGATTAAAGGACCATGGCACAGAGTTAAAAATATCCAGTGTGCACAAGCTGGCAAAGCCCGGGAGATCAACCCTGGGGCCGGTGCCATCTGCTCCCACGAGAAAAATGGAGAAAGAGGGAGCAAAACAAAGGAAGAGAAAGGAATGCAGAAGGGATTGACCCGTCTCTGAATGACAAAATACGTACTCGTTCGACAAATATGACAGAAAGACGGAAAGGAGAGACGTTTGGTTGGAGGAAGAAAATTTGAAATGAAAATAAAAAAAATGATGAGGAAACCATGATTACATTTTTTTCTCCCTAAATATCACACACAAAGACTCACCACGCCTTCCTCAGCCGGAGCATTATCACCAACGACCAGCATGGCCGGGCAACTGCAAGAATGAGAATTGAGAATTTAGTCTGATCACACAGGTGTATGTAAATGTGACTACTACTCAAGAGTCAAATTAACATAGTCCTCACCTCAGGGTCTTAGCATTTAGCACAGAGCCACTGCGGTTCATTTCCAAATCCCTGCGGCTGAAAAAAAAATCCATGTCATGTTTTTTTTTATTTACCAAATCAGCATTTTTATTCAATGCATGCATTATGTATCACTTTGTATACATATTAGCGAGGCGGTGTGCATTTACCTGTTGTACATATTCCAGAAGAGCTGTAGGTTAAACTGGTTGACGGTGTTATTGATCTGTTGGCGGTAGTTTTGCACAATTTCTGTGTTGTTCATAAGCTCTTCCTGTAGTTCAAATACAATAATACATGTTATGTTAGCTAAATAATATTTAGCTTGAGATATCAATTTAACAATGGCATTTATACTTGATGAAGAAATCAAGTCTTAGATATGTATTTACTATTATTTTAATTCTTATTATTTATTTATAAGGTTACTCTATATGTGTATCCATAGTGAAACATAAGAAATGTAGATTAATTTCTACCTGGCTGAAGAGATGGGCCAGGACAGTGTCTGGTAAAGCACTGGTTAGTCCAGACAATTTTGTAGCAGCCCAGTCGATCCATCCTTTCCCATTGGGGTCAATGTTGAGTAGAACCAGACCCTCCACAAGATCAGGGAAAATCAGCTATGTGTAGAAAGCACAGTTGAATTGCACTGAATGTGAATGAAAAGACCATTGACCAACATAAAAGGCTGAGATTTAATACTAACAGCAAATTTGGCGAGGATGTAGGCACCAGCCCCGACTCCAATTCCCACAATGCTCTTGAAGCTATAGAAAAGAGAACATTAAGTAATGAATAGGTTATCATTACATTAGCATAACAGCCTATATTTAAAGTCCCCCTATAGTCAAATAATGTTGTCCCTTAAAACACATCTTTGATCACCAAAATGACATATTTAAACGTTTTTTTTCCTGTGAAAAAAATATTCATGTCTCAAAATAGCTCGAATGTAACTCTACACCCTTGTTTCATTTGGTATGCGAAACCATGAATATGCTAATTAGCCCCGCCTCCACTCACTCATACAGGCTTGTCTACAAGTCAATGTATCAGAGTGGTAATAAGTTTTGTATCGCTCTCTACAATGTTGGACACATAACGATAATTAAAATGATTGGCCGTTTGCTTGACTATGAAACAGCTAATACAGCTGCCTTCTAAAAATCAGTATCCTTTGAAATGCTTTAAACAACTTGGAACGTCAGTGGAGAAAGACGTCATATATAGATCGTAATATATCGGCCTATATACAAAATTCACCCACTATTGCTAAATAAATATATACACAATTTTTCATATCTTCTCTTGAGAACCTCTACTTGGCAGCAGCAGTTAATGATATGCTATAGCCCGCCCTCACATTGACATGATTGGTTACAATGTGTAAAGACTGACGATTTCAAACTGCGTTTTTGAGACTGTCTGTCTTCGGTAAACTGCCGTTTTAAGGAGAAAATACTCAGCAATTGTGTTGACTTATGAATTTGCACATGGTTTGTCTTGAAGCATAGCCTATTAAAAACACCAGACATATTAACAACATTAAAAACTTGATCTTCACCACAGGGGGTCTTTAAGAGTGTAATAACTCACCCAAAATGTTGCACCACACTAGGAAGCATCCCAGCTAGCTGATCCATGGTGGGATACTGATACCTAGGAATAACAAGACCAAAAAAATAATAATAAAAATAATTTTAATGGATGATGGCTCTCTGGAATACTTGATTCTGATTGGTCAATCGCGGCATTCAGTCGCTAATTTCATCGTCTCAATCCTCGAACTCGCGCGCTTTTCTTTCATTCAAACGCAACTGGCGCCATCTTGTGTCTCAGTTATCAACTGGAGTGAAAATCACCTCAGAGCAATAAGTATTCATTGGGGTGTTCGTCTTGCTAGGACAACTGTTTAGTACATTGCACATTTTTTCGCGGATGCTTTAAGGTCATTTAGCCTACAGGTAAGATTATAAAATAATTTAAACTCAAATAAATATTTCATGTCCACGTATTTATTTGGCGAGTAGCAATGCAATAAGTGGGATAATGTAGGCCTACAGTAACCGACATTACAATGCAATCATTTATTTATTTAAACTAACTGTCACCTGCCTTTTTGAGCATAGATCTGAACTTAAATGGTTGTAATTAATGCTTTGGAATACATAAGCATAAGGTTGGTCTTTATTTAAAAAAGATTGTAGCAGGTTGTTGCAGTGACAGTTAACTGCTGACAGGCTAAGATGATTATTTTTCCAAATTGATTGAATGTCTACATATATTCCTTACATATGCGTGTAGAATGGCTAATACTGGTGTATAAATGTTAATGTGTGTGTTCATCATACCCTTGTGGCATCTGGGGGGCACCAATGTGCTGGCCTGGGGCGTCCACGTGGCACACCACAAAATGCTTAGTGATCTCCAGCATATCTTCATTGTGGAAGAAGGTGTTGAAGCACAGCTTGTCTGCTCAGAGAAAGAGAGCAAGACATTGTAGTCTTTACAGAAACATATTGTGTGGTTACCTTTGTAAAATGATGGTAAGATGGTACAGATAGTGTGTTACCTCGATATATAGGCTATATACCATGCATGCACAGAAGGATTATGTTCCTATGTGCCTGTGGTATTTACATCGTACATCTCCAACAACCATGTAATACATTGTTATCCCAGATTCCATTTGATCCCCTTTCATAACGTTGTACATTATATAAGATTACTGATTATAAAAGAATACTTCAAATTTGGGACAGTTCGTTTTTTCTCTCTTTCTGCTCATTTCTTTTTCCAGAATCATTGGCCTATTTAGATCATAAAATGAACAAACAAAACAACTTCAGTGTTCTAGATAACTGCTCAAGCGCCACTAATAACTCATTTTAGATCATGCCATTTCCCTAATCAACATCAAATGGTATTTTGGCAGGTCTTCAAGTTTATTTAAAGGAATAGATTGATCAAAATACTGACTCATCCTTATGTTGTTTCAAACCCATATGCTGTTACCTATTCTGTGGAGTACAAAAGTCGAAATTTTGGAAGTCATCCATAAAGCTTGTGTGCGGTATTATAAGTCTTCTGAATCCCAAAAAAAAAAAAAGTAAAATAAACTAAGAATACAACATACAGGTTTGCAATGACATGAAGATGAGTAAATAACGACAGGATTTTTTATTTTTAGACGCACTGTTCCTTCAGTGGATTTAATGAATTAGCCTACTAACTTCTGAAATTGGATTTCTAAAATTGACCCTCCTCACCAAAAACTTGCATTTTTAAATCTTCTGCATTGTGGCATGATCATATTCGAGTTTCATACCCTTTAGTGAATGAACCCATTTTTTTCATTCCCTCCCAGCTTTATTGCTCACTTTGCATTTTTTATAGGCCAGTGTTTCCTGTCTGTGGTCAATGTCTCTCTCTCTCTCTCTCTCTCTCTCTCTCTCTCTCTCTCTCTCTCTCTCTCTCTCTCTCTCTCTCTCTCTCTCTCTCTCTCTCTCTCTCTCTCTCTCTCTCTCTCTCTCTCTCCCTCCCTCCCTCCCTCTCTCTCTCTCTCTCTCTCTCTCTCAAAATACTGACTCATTCTTATGTTGTCCCAAACCCATATGCTGTTACCATTCCATGGAGTACAAAATATGGAAGACATCCATATAACTTGTGTGCGGTACTATAAGTCTTCTGAATTCCAAAGAAAAATCTGAATCTCTCTCTCTCTCTCTCTCTCTCTCTGAGTCATGTTTTGTGATGGAAGGATGGCCATGCATACTAATACATGTATCTGCAGCAGAGAGGAGAGTCAGAGTTACTGTTACTGCCGCAGTGCTGACCTTGCCCACTCCCCTCCACAAACACTGCATGATCGGTATGTTTGGTGACCTACATATTTCTCTCTCTCTCTCTCTCTCTCTCTCTCTCTGTTTCTCACACTGCATATAAGAACTGGCAGACAATAACACACTTCAGGAATAGATCATGAGGAATGGGCAGATATGGAGAGGAGGAGAGGAAGGGATTAGGTGGAAAGAGGATGGAGAGAGGAGCAGTAGAGGACAGGAAGTGATGAAAAGAGCTCTCGGCCAAGGTTGACATTGACAGAATGTGGAATTCAATATCAAGGTCAATAGCGACCCTGCCACCTTTGTTCTGCTGACCCATAAATGGATCTAATGTTCCTTATCATGCCATAGATTAAATTCCCATAATTCACATTTAGTACAAAATAGACATTCATTCCATTTTGTTTATAGCAACTCCTTCCTAAAAAGTATAGCAACAATGAACAAGAAATAAAAAGCTCTGGTATATATATATATATATATATATATATAAATATAATTTTATTTATATTTATTTACATATATAATAATTTATATATTATAGGCTAAATAAGTATTAAATCAATACAATATACATACATTTTAACAAATACAAAATTTATATAAAAATAATAATAATTAAAAAATATATAAATAACTATTAAATATTATAAATAAATACAAATAAACAAAAGATTAAGTTCAATCTAGTTTGCCATATTTTGCCGTGTTTTTGCCTTGTATATCTTTGTATAAAATCACATGTTTTTATCACATGTGGCGCTGATCACCTGTGCACCTGAGATCAGCTTCACCTCACACTGCATGCAATCGGTTAACAGAACTGATAAACTGCAGTCAGCTGGCTTCCAAATTACAGCTCTGATCACAGCCCACACACATTCCTTCCAGAGGGCTGCTCTTTGATAACGCACATATGCAAAAGTACACACATAAACACACGAGCGTCTCTTTTTGGTTGTGGAGATGGGGAAATTAACTTCAGGTCAATGCATGGAGACAGATGGTGTACCAAGATTGAAATGGTGCAGTGCGTATTGCTTTGGGAATTGGAGAGCAATGTGGGTATAGTTTACCTTTGCACAAACAAATACAAAACATTTTGTTTACTTACGGTTGAGCCCAACATCATGGTAGGTAAGGATAGCTGGCTTGTTGCCCTTGGGAGCCCCGCGGATCACCACATGCAACATCCCATAAGGGGTTTCAATGTCATGTTCCTACAACAACAACAACAACAACAAAAAGTGATTTCAACAAACAGTCTGAGAAGGTCCAGGCCAGACTTTTCCTAATAACCACTGACCTACGATGGATCACTTGAGAGACCTGAACTTTACAGTATGTATATATATATATAGTAGTACTGACGTTACCATGTTATTCAATTTGTATTAATTACCAGGGTGCAGTCAAGTAAATTGGGCCACTTTTTGACATTGAGTTGAAATAGGCCCCTGATTTCAGCCTGTATGTTGTAGCTAAACACAAACTAAAACAATTAAAACACTTATATTGTAGTTACAATAATTGACTGCTAAAATTTCGGCAGGGACCGAAAAAATCTATTTAATCAACAGTGGCAAGAGTTAAAAACAAGACTAATTAATTTATCATAAAGCATCTCTGATCACAGATTGACTACACACGGTCACGTAACAAGCTTTTAATTGGCAGTTCCAAAGGCATTTTAATCTGACCCACATTTAGTCTCAGACTTTATCTGTCCAAGCAGAAGAGCGATGAATGTATGCGTGCGTGTTTTTCTTGTCCTGAGGATTATTTCAGCATAGCCTTCCAGAGTTATGCACAAATCCTAGCAGACACCTCACAGACAGCTTTATGCAGATCCACTGAGAGACGGGAAATAAATCTCCTGTGGGGTTTAAGCCCCTTTCATTTGGAGTTTTTGATGTTGGAAAATTCGTGGAAGGTCAGACCAGATGCAAATGGTCTGTGTGTGTGTGAGTTTAGTGCAGCTGTTTGTCTCCCTCTGTGTTTAGGTCAAAATTAAATCTTGTGGCAGCTGTCACTGTGCCGCAAAACGTTGAGCATGTTTTCTAGGGAGATAATATTCAACAAACACTGATAGGATAAATAGGAATGTTGACCTAGATAACACAGTGCTATGCAAATATGGGGCAGAAAATAGTAAAGCATCATAATAATCTCTCAAGAAATTCTCTTGTAGCTGCTCATTTGTATTGTTCAAGGTCACACAATTGTCCTTGTAGGAAGATTTTGTTATTAGACTGCAGACATAAGATTTACCACATGCACAAACACTCGTTTCTGAACACACGGCAGGTTACTGCAGGGGTACATCAGAGTGCACGTTTCACCCGTGTCAGTGTGTTAGTGTGTCAGAGCAAATGGCCACCTCACACATGACTGGACATTTCTGCAGAACTCAGAATCCCAACATCACAAATACATGATTTAAAAGATGAAACAATTAGTCTTTTTTCTTTTTCTTTTCTTGGTAGTTTTTTTAATTACTATTAATTATTTTTATTTAATTTTGTGAAGATTTAATTTTTTTTGAAGATTTTTTTTTGGGGGGGGGGGGGGGGGGGGTTGTATAATAATTAGTTATTATAAATTAAATACATTTGACATTATTATAAATATGCAACAGTCGAACTGTTTCACAATTACCGGTTCAGTAGGTCAAGCTAGTTATTTATGACCACAGGGCAAATCAAGTAAGTAACAATTTATTCAACCAGCTAAACGCTTAAGAATGATAATATAGCCAACAAATTATTATAAAACCATTTTTTGCTGTTTATTATTAGCAAAACAAAAGCATTGTCTCTCTTACTCTCTATTTACATTCCTGTAATCACAGATATCCCACTCACCCCATCCCAGCACTCCGGCATGGCTCTTTAGAGATTGTGTACGCTTGCTTAAAGGAGTATATGAGCAGGAAGAAGACACGGTCCGCTCCGGGCAATGGGACTCAGATGCAGGTAACCAGAGAGATGCTGCAGTTGCTACGGCGTCTCTTTGTCTCTCCCCATCAAGGGAGTTTTGCAGCGCTGCTGTCCCCTCCCCCAGTACATTTCATACCCCACCCCTGCCCTCTCATTGGCTGACTGCAAAAAACAGGCTGCCTGTGATTGGCTGGGCTTTGTGTCAGTCTAAATCTATTGTGTTCTTTCTGTATTTGTCCCATATTTTCATCTTTATCTTCCACATACTCATAAAGGCCTGGCTATTCAATCATTTTATTGCAATTTAGCAGCGATATTGTGCTTGATTCTCAGAATAGAGGGAATTAAAAAAAAAATTTCATTATTTACGATTTACTGCTCCTACATGAGCAAATGTATCATCTGAATATTATTATTAGACAAAGACACCACACGCAGAGTAAAATGGGCCAGGTCAAATAAATGCCATAAGATTTCATAGAAAGGCTCTAGCAACACACTCAATGTGACACGAGTCGTGTATGTGGCAGCGTCTGCAGACTTGACTGCGTCTTTTGAGTGCGAGTATTTTTCTCTGTGTATGTTCAAGATTAATCCCTTTGTGGCTGACTTGGCTTTTGCTGTCTCGCTTAAATGCACAACCTCTATCTCCTCCTTTCAGTTGGTGATCGTATACACAGGTGTAAAAACAGTTGCATTGTCATTGTCAAAAAAAGAATGGACTGCCCACCGTATCACACCACACAAATAAGTGCTAACATATTTTTAGTGCTTATTCTTTTGTAATAGACATTTGTAGAGTACAAACAAATGAAATCATACATTTGTGCCAACTACAATTTGGTATAATTGGTTACTGCCCATCCCAATACAAATATACTGTAGTAAACTGATATAATGTACCTTGAAATCACTGCAAGTTACATAAATGTATCATAAAATGAACCATTTAATCTTCTGATGTGTAATTCTGTTTCTAAAATATTATTTAGAATATAGGAGGCTGTATTTTAAAAACGTTTTGTGTGTCTCTTTAAATGCAAATTAGCTCCAGGCTCCAGGAGCCTTTAGAGCTCGTGCTTCCGATACTCCGGCAACAACAAAACTGGAGAATATCACTCAGCCAAAAAAGTTGATTCAACGCGCATGACACACAAAACTGACGGATAGCTCTGGTGGAGAACAGTGAAACCTTCTAAAACTTTTAGATGACACACAGCTCATATCTCCATCACAGCAAGTTACCGAAGCCACACATGAAATCTCGTCGCAACACATGGTAGACGTGTTTGTGTAGCACAGAGTGGCTTACTTGCACTGTATATATGATGTGACAGGCAACTAGTTGTCCAGTCCAGTTTCGTTCACATGGGCTTTCCTAGAATGTGGATTTGAGTCCTGAAAATGTACGGGTGGGAGTTCATTGATGCGGTTCTTACTCCCGTAAATAACTCAACTGTGTGTGAACATATACCGTATTAAGGACTCAAATACAGGGCTGACAACCGTATTCTGTTGCTGTGTGAACACATCAAAAGTCAAAAAATGTTTGGTTTATTAACTTTCAGTGTAATCTTCTTTCTTTCTTTCTTCGTACATCTTTTTCTTTTCTTTTTTTTCTTTTTGCTTGCCATTAGGTAACCATATTGCACTTCCAAACACCTATTTAATTATCCGTTCTCCATCACAATTAAAACCTCTCACTCGATGAGTGTGCGGCTTCCAAATCCTATCATCTCCAGCCCCAATCCGCTGTTTGGATTTCTCACTGTTTTATTTCAATTCATTTCTCTGTGATTTAGTCCTATTTCTGTTAGAGGTGTGAAGAGATGATGCAAACTGTGAGACAGAGATAACATGAGGTGATAAAGTTCTCATACCTCAACTTGTATCTCAGATTTCAACAGCAATTTGATTTCTGTAACTGAGTGTAACTCTTAGTTATATAATGGATATATTATATTATATTAGGCTATATTATATTATATTGTTGCACAATAAGACCAGAAACGTGCATTACAAATTTAAATAGGGTCCATTTTGATGTCATATTAATTTTTAAAGAGATTTATGTGAATTACAATTTAAAAATCACATATGTAATAAAAAAAAATCTGGCACAGAATGATTAAACTACCAGTTTTAACCAGCAGGCTGGTACTGCATTTTTCCATTAGTGCTCTGAAGTGGATATTGATTGAATCTGTAGGCTACTCTGGAGGTCATAGCAGTGCTGCCATGTCTTTCATTCTTTCTTTGTTTTCTCTGTCTTGCTGTCTTTAATAATCAAATGCCAAAAAAAGAAATAATGACGCTATGTCAACCACACCATTTTGAATCTGACATGTATGGCTCAAAACCCTCAAAGATGGGCAGTTTAAATGTAAATCATAAGTCAACATCAAATACGCACAGGGAAAAGTCACCGTACCTTCCAGTCTCCTGTAGCCACAAAGGTATCGCAGTTTTCCTGAAGGAACACAAAAGGTCAGGTTCATCAAAGCCAGAGTACATTTGTTTTTAATATGCTATTACAATACATTTGGAGCAACACACTGCAAGGTCCCGTCACCGAAGAAAGGGTTTCTGTGATGGAAACAGTTACTTGAACTGTTGTGTCTGCTGTGAAAAAACTGAGTTTTTCTCAGGGGTGTAAAAAGTACTGAGAAATGATACTTAAGTTAAAGTATAGAAACCAAAATATATAGCTCAAAACATTTGTAGTGAAAGCAAAATTGATTTGTACAATTGGAAAGTAAGGAAATTGGAAAGTAGAATCTAGATTTAAATCACCAAGACCCAGTAATGTATTTTCAAGGTCTAAATAGAATTCTAAGGAGTAAAACATAGAATTTACTCCTTACTTAAGAAAAAGTGCAAGTATTCCTTTTAAATTGAGTACAGTAAAAATGCCCCCAAATAATACTAAGTATAATAATAAAGTATAATTCCTCAAGTACTTTGCACCACTGGTTGTTGTTTCACTAGACATGTTGGTTAGTATGTGGGTGGCTAAGCTGGCTTCAGATCAGCAGCTATTTGTGGAAAGACATGCAAGCTGAGCTTGCTTCACTGCTGATATGAGGCCTGTTTAACTCTATTATACATGGAAGTATAATGGTAAAGTGTTTTGCTGGTCCAACCTCAGAATTAATTAGTAAAGACAATAAGAACACAACGTGCAATGGAAAAAAGGTGAAATGAGTACAAAAATGGTGTAAAAGAACAGCTTGAGAACAGGACTGCATCTTCTTGCCAGACAATTGTATCCCTACAGTCACTATAGGAATGACAAAAAAATCCATCTCATTCTTCTGAAAAGGCAAGGAGACATGAGTTAGCACGAACTACATTAGATATAAACAAAGCATCCATTTTGGAAAAGCAAGTAGAACTTATAATGTTATTCTTGTGCAGATTGGCAGAAGCTGGAATAAAGCCACAAACCTAAAGAAAGAGGTTAGTGCATGCAGTTAGAGCTGTTGGCAGCAGAAAAGCAAAAGCTGTTTTAATGTCGGACCAGCAGGTGTCACTCCTTTTCAGGATAAAAACTCTAATGCAGTACCTCAGAAGTGCAAAAGGGGGCAGCCTTACGGGTAAATAACTTTGCCTCTTGAGGAATTGAAACTTATGACATTACAGGTTATAAAGCTTTGTCCACATTGCACATAAATCTGATTTGCATTTCTAATACCACCCTGAGTAATGCCATTTTGGAAGTGATCTATTTGTTTATACTGTGTTGTCAATATCCAGCATATCTGCATATGTTGCCATAGCAATGATGTAGGTGTTAGCACAATGCTAAGAGACAATAGTGCGGTATCATGTAGGGTTGCCACCTATGTCTGATAAAAAACCGGGACATATTACCCGCCCAACTGGGGGGAGAGGGGTGTTTGAAGACCAAAAATGAACGGTTGAACACCAAAATTTAAATTTTAACTGTAGGCCCGCCTATACACCAAATGCTGCGCAAAAATATATCCTATATTCGCGTATTTTCAGATTTTTGTTCATGATTTTTTTTTTGCCCCTTTAATAAGCATTTAAAATATTCACAAATTATATGGATAAAATGGTTTTCTAAGGCCAAACACTATATTTCTAAGGCTATAGATGATTTATAGGCTATTATAAATGTTTCTGAAAAAGTAACGAGGCATTTTAATTGTTTATTAATAAACTAGTATTTTCTAAATCGGCTGCAACATATCTCCATCTCCGCTGTAAAGCAGATGCGCCTTTAGAGAAGAAATTCATATGGATTACATAATCAGACTGTATTTTCTTTTGATTCGAATTTGTTCGTTTAAAAGTGGACATTTCAAGCTTTAGCCTATGGGCTTGTTTATTTTGAGACGCGATCCAGTTCACGGAGACCATAAAAGAGCGCGACTGATTGTTTTATTTTATTTTACAAAAGCACAACGTTTTCTTGTTATTGTGAGTTTACACAAATAAAAGTAGTTGCGAATGATGTATTGTTGCGAATGATGTTTATTTTCTATGACCAGAAATGATAGAGTAGTAGGCCTATTTTAAGTTGTTTCCACTGTTGATAGAAAAACGGAAGTGCTCGCGCCCGCGCCTCGTGCAGCAAGCGCGCTCCACACTCAGATTACATGCGCTTCTTATGCGCTTCTTGAGGCAGACTCGACTCACACTAGCACACACACGCAAGGTCTCTCGCTCTCTGCCGTTGCGCGCGCTACACAGTTTGAACATACATATTCACGTAGCCTTTCGAAAACCGGGACATTCAGTGTCCCGGGAGAGTGCGTAAATTTCCCGGGACAGGTTATTAAAAAGAAGGACAATCCCGGTAAAACCGGGACAGGTGGCAACCCTAGTATCATGCTATTATGACAACATATTCAGAGCCATTACTGTACTATTGACTCATTTATGCATAATTTTGTGTACAAAATCATTCACTTGTTAATCCATTCACTATAGTGAATGCCATTTGTTAACATAAAGGAGTGGATTCAGACAGCTATTAGCACTTCCAAGCTTAAGCCTATGAAGTTTTAGTCATGTTTAAAAAAAAATCCAATTCGACCAACAAAAACCTGAATGAATCTGTGAAAATCTGTTAAATTAACCAGATTTCATGTGATGGTCTGAAGTTCTGACTGCAAACTACTGATTTGTCAAAAAAACAACAACAACAACAACTATTTTTGCTGTTGTTGCTGATTGTCTAAACAAAGCCTAAGCGTTATTCACAAATCTTACTTGTTGCTTGTTTGTATACTATTATCATGTGAAAAGCTATTAGTTTAAGCGAAAAAAATGACACATTTATTTAATCTATTGACTATTGCTTAAAATGTTGCTAATGCTAGCAGTGTGTATGAAACATGGTGCCAAAAGGAACATTTCAATGTTTTACTCATCACACCATGTGAAACCAAATGGGTTTTTGGGTAGAGAGAAAATATCAGGCCTTGTTTGGTCTTTTCTATCATAATTGCATTTAAGGACTTGACACAAATTAGTATCCCTTAGTTGGAGGGGTGGACATGGTCTGTGCAGTTATCAGCCTACCGGGAAGTACCCGCTGGTCCGACGGCGCGTCAGGCCGAGCCAGTGTCGGGCGATGGCATGCCAGCGTTTTGGGGGGCGAGCCTTGTGGGGGGAGGGCGTAGCACAGGGCAGCGGCACGTGCACACACTGTCCTTTAGCCTGCCACATCACACATAGACACAAACACTAGTTACAGCACACTACAGCAGACAGTGCCCTCAATAGTATCGGAGAACAATGCTTTGGTGCCGGAGGTGAGAAGCTGAAGAAAAAAAAATTATAAGCATGAATGATACTGTGTGATATGTGGGAAAGTAAGCAGCAGACATAAAAATCCATTCAACAAGCTTTGACGAATAAATTGTGATTATCATTTGTGATTAGTTGTTATCATCTTTTTTTAGGGTTTACCTAGGGTTTATCCTTTTCATTTTTGTAAAGTTTTATTTACCAATATTTATAAATGAATATAAACCAAGACACTAATAACCCAATAAAAGCTGTAAAATAGATGTTTTTCATCGCTTTCATGAATTAACTAATGTGAACACATAACGTTATTGTAAAGTGTATCTAAGAATTTATAAATAGGCCTACCTGGCATGGAAAATTACAATTTTAGAATTTCCTGATGTTTTCAGCTTTTTAATGGCTGTAAGAACCCACCCAGTGCTTTTGATTGGTTGTCTACATTGATTTAAAGGGATAGTTCACCCAAAAATGAAAATTCGTAGTGTAACAGCGTAGCGCTCCTGTGTTGTACGTCACACGCATCAAATGAGAAGAAAATGAATAGTTGAATAAATAGTTTTTTTTTTTTTGCGCACAAAAAGTATTCTCGTCACTTGATAAACTTAAGATTGAGCCACTTGGACTATTTTAATGATGGGCCGGCAAGTTTCAATCCCTTAGAAGCCTATGGAGGAGTGATCCAGCTCTCAGATTTAATCAGAAATATCTTAATTTGTGTTCCGAAGATGAACGAAAGTCTTACGGGGTTGGAACGGCATGAGTGTGAGCAATTACTGACAGAATTTTCATTTTTGGGTGAACTATCCCTTTAATTAGATAAGGGGTAAAAGTTACAATGGATTCCAAACACACCAATGTTTAGGGGGCAAGGACCCTCTTGGAATTGCTCCGTTTATTAATAAATTGATTTCAGGTGTACTAGTATCACTTAAATATCTATTATTAATTGTGCTCTTAATATCATAGCACTTCTAAAGAAAAGCAAGAAAGTAGCACACCGTTTGTTGCCAGTGTCCCAAATTTTTAACTGATATTTTAAAGCCAATTATTTCTACTGACATTAAAGACATGCCATGCTTTTCATTTCACATTTGCTTAATACATATGAGTGGATTAAGATAAAATGCAGTATTTGGTGAGCATAGATAAATCCTTTATCGTGAACACACACATCCAATTTTTTGTACTCTTGCCTAAAAACAGGGGGACATTTTTAACCGGTCTACTATATTTAGCTATGCACACACTCTCACATACTCACCATCTCTGTTTCCTGTCCCCTGGATTCTGGCAGTAGCGGTTTCTCCTCAGTGAATTGCTGATCCTTCATGCCAGCCATCCTGGAGTGCAACCTGCAATCACCATGGCAACACACACACCTGAGATTAACAAGGCTTTTCGACAGCAAACCCTAATCCAATCAAATTCGTCTTGCTGCTCCAATATTGTAAAATTACCCACACTACCATTGCTCAAACCATGCATGATGGTTTTCATACATGGCTTTCCCTGCTGGGGAAAAAAAAATCAGATCATACCAGCTTAAAGACCCGATAATATCAAAACTGTAGTTTTGTGGCTTTTACTCCATGTCTGTTAGCTTTGAGGTCATCTATATGTAGTGCACTTCTAAAAGTTGAAATAAATTAACTTTAACTAGATATACATTAAAAAATTACAGAATTTTTCTTCTAACAAAATGGACCACAAATGTTGATGACTCATCCTGCACTACAGATTTTTGTCCAATCAGATGTTAATTGTAGAATCAAAATAAAAACCACCTGTAGCCAACTAACAAGTGCGTAGGTTTACAACTGCGACGTTACTAAAGCCTGTTGACGTAACCTCTTCATTATGCCCTGCCCAAACTTCCTGTTTCAATAGGAAATATGTACAACTGCACTTGTTAAACAATTTCCCACGGGTCTTTAAGGTGGTAAAGCTTGTCAACCAATCAAGCTGTGTTTTGGAACATAGCTAAGCTGGTGGGGACTAGGTGGACCTCTGACCCACTGTGTGGCAGGCACCTAAACCAGCTTGTTTGGACCAGCTAGTAACCGTGTGTCTTTTTCCACTCCCTAGTTCTCTATGGAAAGAATCCATAATAAACACATAAGCATTTGGTCCTTGATCCAATAAGTATTAGGATACAAATGACTCAATTACATACAACATGATTATGACATCATGCATTAAATCGTATCAGCAACATAATTATTCTGATGACTTGAAGAAGACAAAATTTTCCATAAGCAGCTTACAGTATGCTTGCTGGAAATTTCAAGGGAGTGAATGTTTTAGTACATTGCAACATTCTAATGGCTGCCTACCTGGGCAGTGTACTGAACTAGGGAGCGAATTGAGACACACCACATGTAAAACCAGCTACCATCAGGAGTTGGTTTTAACTGCATTTTCAGCAGGGCTGAATTTTCAATCTGGCTCCAAACAATAGAAAACTGCATGTGAGTATGGGGTTTTGTGGACTTATAATGAGGTGGCATTGTGAACATGGCTTGAATGTTGTTTGGTGGTTAGGTTCAGGATGACACGAAAAAGGTAGAAACCTTTTAATCGCCAGGAGCACATCGCCAGTTGTGACACTAGCTCACAGGTTGTCTCAAGGGATCTGTTGATGGATGAGACAATGTACCTTTCCATTAGGTAGGCTACTTATTAAACTCCAGCTGTGTAGCTGAGGGTTGCCGGCTTATGGGAGCTCCATCAGTGTCAGTTGATATTTCAATAATATGATGCTAAGCTAACAAACACCTCCACAGCCTAGTAGTGCTAATTAACTAATCTCTAATAATTCTACAAAAACATAGACAAAGATTATGAAGAATGGCTTCATTTACAACCTTAATGGAAATATTGATAGCATACACATGTAGGCGAAGCAACAGTCATTAACATCTATAGTAACATTTAACCTTCTTGGCATCTTTAAAAATACAAGTGCTTTGAGGACAAGTTCCTCATAAACAAGAACATGAATTAGAAATAAAGAAAAAAAAAAAAAACTAATCCAGATATTAGTGCATATTATTGCACTTTGACATATAAATCTCTCAGAAGTCAAACAATAACTGAGTTTAATTCAGAACCCTTCAAGCCAACAGAAAAGTCATAGTCCTGGAATCATGGGCAGTGTAAATCAAACCCTCGGATGTGAATGGATAGAATGATTCAAAGCCCTGCAAGGAATGATTATTTTGGTTGCATAACACCTCCCATGAGTTGATTATAACGAGGTCTAGACATGACCACAATACCCTCAATTGGCCTCTCTTCCTCCCTCCCTTCCTCTCTGTCACAATTCTCTCTGTAGATCCATCTCATCTTCCCTCCTCCTCCCCCACATGTACTGACCTTTCTCAGATCATTATTATAATCATTAGCACTCTGTTTTGGTATACTATAATAGAGCTACATTTTGACTCTTTCTAAAGAGAACATGAGCGGTGCTTGCCAGTGGCTCCACGCAACCACCATTGAATGGTGGTTGCTAGGTATTCCGAGTATTTTCTAGGATGTGGCATGTGGTTGTTCACTAGCTGAAGTCAACAGAGCCCACCCCCACTAGATATGGCTTAGGTCCCGTATTCAACTCTTTTTTCACACATTTTCTCCGCCAGGTGAAAATGTTAAGTCCAATTGCTTATAAAAGTAATACAACACCTCTTCTAATCAAGCTGCACAATTTGAGGTACCAGCAAAAGTTTAATATTTAGGTTTAGAGATTTAAACAAACCTAAAATAGGATCAATAGTAATAGCAACCTTGCATGCACCGCTAATAACTGGCTAAAATTGTATTGGTCTATGGTTTATGGTCTGTATATACTCTATGTAGATATATAATTTAGGTCTATAATATTTAAGTCACATTTTCTATGGGTTAAATATAACATTTTTTCTTTTAAACTAGTTCTTAATCAACAACATTAGTGTTATCCTGTAATCAAAATTACAGTACAGGGAACTAATAAATACATTCATGTCAAAAACCAACCTGTAGCCAACCTTATCAAAGAGATTTATTTTTTGTGGGTTCTGTACCCTGTCAGTGTTGCCATGGTAACCTATAGTGATGCCATTAGACAATCTTCACGGAGTTGGATAACCTTTACTTTCCTTTATCCTTTTCGACAGCTTCACTACTGGTCCTAACTGAGGTAAAAGAAAAAAAAAACAAGAGTTTGGAGTCACTAAAATAGATGGCCACTCTCAGACACGTTTAGAGAATGTTGGCCATTGATCTAGATAGAGTTCACATATAGAGTGCGATTGAGCAGACAACATCAGCCAGGGCTGGCATATGACCTGGCCCGGTGACAAAAAAGAGTGCATGAGGGAATATGACAACAGAATGACCATTGGAAGAGAATATGCCAGACACCAAATCAATACATTTGTTTAAAGGCAAGGGTCTGACCTGATATACAGAATCCCATCAATACCTGGAAACTGGGTTAGGACAAGACAATGTGTGTTTATGCTGTGCACTAAAAAAATCTGTTACAACTAAATCTATGTCAGATGGATTTCTGAAGTCATTCTCTGAACACAAAACAGGCAAAAAATCTTGGCACAAAGCTGCCAAGAAGTTGAGCAATACAGTCTCATTGGCATCGCTATTAGGTTATACAAGTGATCAAAGTTTTAATTAGCCATTTGGATGCTAACATTATTAAGGTAAATAGAACATGGCTGCTTAAGCAAGGTGTAAAGAGTGCTAAGTACCACCCACATACTAGCAGCATCAAATATAACAGGAAATAAAAAAATAAATGTCAAATTTATGTCAATGTGGAAATATGGGAGAAATCAGCAGAAGACCTGAGCTATAGCTGTTTTTATAAAGCACTTGTTGCTGTCTGGAAAAAGTCAAACATCAAGGCAAATACTGTAAACTATCCTCCGTTTACACCGACTAAAAACTAGCTTGGCCTCATTGCTAAGTTTGTTTTCTATGTGTTTTTATAGAATGAATGATCTTCTTGTTCTTCTAATGTGTATATATTTCATTCAAGCCCAATATTCTAATAAGGAACCACTCTATAAGGTCAAATGTAGAGGTTGATGGAAGATGAAACAGAAAATACTCAAATGGGAATAAAACAAGCTCACGTAACCCTTACACTTAATTGACTGTTCCAGGAACGTTACAATCATATACTGATGCACACCCTAGTCCAGTGATTCCCAAACTTTTTCTGCCAGGGCCACCTTTTGTAGAGAAAAAATATTTCTGTCATGACAACTTTGTGTGTGTTTGGCAAGGTAATGGATATGACCATGTTGAGAAGTTTTGTCTTGGCTGAATAGATCTGCTATGCTGCTGCTGTTATTGCTGCTGCTGCTGCTGCTTCAGAGCAAGTACAGGACTTGCTACTGCCAATACATACGCGACACGTAGCTGTGAGCAAGTAAGACATACTGCTGATCTATTCAGGTGGAGCTGGGGAAGGTGGAGGGTTTCTGAAAGTGAGCTGCAACTGCTACAGCAAATGTTGAGCTGCGAGCACATTGGCTGTTGATACAGCAGGAACCAATCAACTGTGCCCAGAGAATGATGTAATTGCAAGCCAATTGAGTTAAGGACATAATGAAACATTGTAATTAATACAGTTCTACAACTTCAACGGGCTTCTCTTTGTGTTTGGATGTGAAGTCTCCAAGTGGCATCCTTCAGCTTTCAGCTTCATACCGTCAGAAGCTAATATTTTTGACACAACACAATGTGGTCTCTTTATTACCCACCGTTGTACTGGTGAATCTGAAAGTGAGATATGCCTCATCATATTTTCTTTTCTTGAGGCTGTTTACACTGGACAAACATTTTTGTCCTTTGTGTCAGAAGTTGTGGTTGCTGGAATATGTCAGAAATAGAACTGGCATCAGTTTACTGTCGGGAATTTGTTGTGTCGTGCCGCATCCAGTGTACAGCATCATTGTTTTGGAAATTTTCACATTAGAAGTAGATTTATAGCCTGCTTTACATTTGGCACTGACAGAACTTTCACAGTCTTGTCTATGCTTAGTGCAGAACCATGCATCGTTATTTTATCTTTTTACTAAATTCTGATTCTTTAACCACGCCACCTAGCAGTCTGTTAATCCCTGACAACAACCGCTACAACTGATAACAGCTACCATTCATGTGGGTCCTGAGTAGGGGTGGGGGGAAAAATCGATTCTTAGATGCATCGCGATGCGGACGTGGACGATTCTGAATCGATTCACAATTGTCAAAAATCGATTTTAAAAAAAAAAACAATTTTTTTTAGATATATATTTATAATAACGTAAAATTGACGGAACGCGAAAGACGGAACTCTGAAGCGCGGAAGTGCAGTGGCCGGACCGTCTGTGGCGTGCACATCACAGAGACGCGGACGCGATGGCTGAGCGCCAAATCCAAACACCCTCCTCGTTAAAAGCTGACGTGTGGAAATATTTTGGCTTCTGAAGTTGAAGGGGGAAAGGAGCTGGACAAGAGCCACACTAGTTGTAAGCTTTGTAGAGTAAAACTAAAATATTTCGGAAACAAGACACATATGAGAAGCCAAATGACACGTTTCCAGCCAAAGAGGAAAAACACTCGGCTGTAACGTTACCGGTCGTTGTTATATTATTAATTTACTACAAATATGCTGCTGCTAGTTCAGACACACATGTATTTTCCTGTTGGTTCTTTGCAATGTTAATAAAATATATTGTACGTTAATTCTTTATGGGTCATTACTTTGTACTTTTAAAGCAAAGTATTTATAGTCACACACACACACAAAAAAAGATTCTGATAATCGATTTAGCATCGAATCGCAGCCCTCTGAATCGTAATCGAATCGAATCGTGAGGTGCCTAGAGATTCCCACCCCTAGTCCTGAGTGTCATCTTGAGGTAATAAAATGTCAAATTAATATTTTGTGTTCATATATTTACTTATGTGGCAAGTAGCTAGGATAATTTCACAGTGGGGTCTTATATCACCCTGAAGAGGTTTCTCTGCACAACAATCTGCTGACTGTACACTATCCCTTGGCCTCGCCACACCCCCCTTTTATAACCCTGAGCCCCCTCTATGAGGCGTACTACCCACTTTGGGAAACACTGCCCTAGTCCAATTGACAATAACAGAATATGGATTTGCATTAAACTTGAGATAAAAAGCAGCTGTGGAACTCACAAAAACTCGTAATCTTGATCCCTCAGAGAACTCACTTCACACCTCCAGAGGGATTCTGGGTAACATCCGAAGGGTCAATAACAGCTACAGTATCTGCCCTGATAGTGTTGTACCACCAGAATTAACCATGTTTCCAACCCCTCACACTGCCTCTTGTCAGGAGCTGCCTAGTGCGGTAAGCCAGGCTGACAGAAGGTGAGTTGGTATGTGGTCCTCAATAAAGCTGTTTTACCTAGGCCAAAAGTACAGTAAGCTGGCTGAACCTTTCCTTAAAACAGGTTTATACTGTATGGATCAGTAGGAAACCAATCCAGGGATATTAGGTGCATTTTCCTTGAAAGATTAATGGTTCCATTTTGATAAATAGCCTGCATCTAAAAGCTTTCATGAAGCGATTTTTCGCTTCGGCCTGAGCTTTTATCACAGCTGCACACCTATTTAGGTCAGAATATAATACAATCAAATCCATAATGGCTTTCTTCAATCATGTGCAGTCAAATTTATGGAGATTTTTATTTATTTATTGTAGTTCATTAAAGCGAAATTGGTATCATGTGGTTCAGTTGATTCTAAGCTTGGGGGCACTGGAGGTCAAGGACTGCAGAAGATTTCCAGAACCCTTTTGAACAGAAAAACATCCAAAGTACCAAAGCCACCAAAACAAAACAATGTATATCAAGGTCGATACACATCTCTGAAGGCAACATATATGGACATTATTTTTTTATTATCAAATAACATATAACTCAAGCAAGAACTGATTGTAAGATATCATAAGATAACAATACCTCATAATTCAGATCCCTATATAGTTGATGAAACCTAAATGATAAAATGAATATTTTTACATTAAATCAGCTTGGACACATAAACCTACATCAATGGATAGGTCACAGACTCAAGGCTGGAACAATCAACAGCTATTGGCCAATGGATTATGAGTAATGATCTAGTGCTGAGTAATGATGGTTATTGACACTTGACCTTGTTTGGCCATTGCCCAGTGATTGGTCAACAAATCAAGGTGGTCAGACACAGCAACGAGCCATGGAATTCACAAGCAAAGAGACAAACAAAAAATGAAGGTATGGATGCTAAAAAAACGGAAAAGGCTACAACCTCAGTTACAGGCGGAACTACGTACATTGTCTGCAGCAGGCTCTGTGGAACCGTGCAGCTAGTCTTGGATGGAAAGTTCCAGAACAATCCGGGCCCCATCTATCAGTACAAAACAAGATCCATTTGTAATTCAGCTATACACAATATTTGGTATTCAGAAAAATCTTAGTATTCAGGAAGCCCCCTCCGAGTCCTGCACGCTAAAATGTAAACTTGTCCCAGGGCATGCCTCTTTCAAAGATATGTTTTATTGAAAAGTTCCAGGCATTTTTAAAAAAAATCCTCTGTAAATGACATTCTTTATATAAATCTCAAGCCAGGAGCTTCTATTAGAGTAAAGCTAACATGCAGTTTATTAAAAAATATTTTTCCATGCTCAGTGGAGAACAGTCCAACAGTTCTAACAGAGAAGGCTTTCAGGATGTGTGTGAGACCGAAAAGTTTCCAAGGCGTCTGTTGCATTATTATGTAATGTAGAAATGGGGGCATCTCATTGTTGTCTTGCAGGGATACGTAGCAACAACCAAAAAAAGGATCAGCCTTGCATCAAGTTGCGTCAGTAATGCCATCTTTCTTTTTACAAGGCTAAATATTACTTAAAATATTTACTTACTCTTTAAAAAAAAAGCATGCCACATATTGTTATTCATCTTTGCAGCTTTAATGATCACACACAGTAATTAAAATACCAGCTTGAATTTCCACCAACCTTTGAGTTACATAGATAATATGTATTTCAGCTTCATGTTATTTTGTCAACCAAAGGTGTGGTAGTCGCCATTTGCCGTATTTAAACCACAACTGTTTTATTTTAAACCCAACATAAATATTTTCATCTTTAGGCACAGGCTAACAACATCACCCATCACCACTTTAAAGCTGAAAGTGTCAAGGCTTGTGATAAGTCCCAGTTATCCACCCTGGAAAGTTCCACAGCCCTCCTGGCCTCCCAATGCAAGCTGGAACCCAACCAGGTACACTGGCGTCAGATATTTTGTGAAGTGTTATTGAGATTAAGAAAACAAAAGCTGTGCTTATCAGTTATTACACAGACCCGGATACATCTCAGCACCATAGCAGATAGCATTACTCCAATGAAGAGAAAAGGACACCTGTTAATAGACTTACCCTGAATTTAAGGGGTGGTCTGGATGGACCGCCACTGGCTTGTTGTTTTTTGGCAAAGCGTCCTTGTCTGACGCAGTTATTTTGTGGGGTTAATAAATTTAACCTGCCGACTACCCATTGACGCCAATGCAGAGGCTGGTACTATGAAGCGTAGCTTGTGACACAAGCGCTGGAATACTCTCAGCAGGGACTCTAATGTTTCTCCTGAGGTGGAGTCCCTCAAGGCCCATTGTTGAGGCACTTTTTGATCTGCTCTGTCCATTTGCCACGTCTTCAAAACAACCAAGTAGTCAACTTAACCTAACAACAGATGTCTTAGAGTTCTCTTGAATGATCTTTCTAATTTGCACCTTTTTACAACAATCACCGCAATGACTAAGGAGATCTTTCTTACCTTTGCTTAAGGACTGTGTTCCTGTTGTCGTCTAAAAAGATTTTGATGTGTTTAGCCTCTCTTTTTGTTTGCTTGTGGGTGCCTTTCAGAGCGATGCTGTCTACCCTATGAGGGCTATTCTGTGTGAATCTCTCTACCTCTGTTCCACCCTCCCTCGTTCGTTCGCTCACTCTCCCCCTCCCTTTTTTTGCTCTATAATAAACAGAGAACACGTGTCCTCTTGGATGATGCAGCCTGAGCCATACCAACAGATGAGAGCGAGATAGAGGGAGGGAGAGAGAAAGAGCAATCACAGAGAGGGACACAGAGAGGGACAGACAGGAGAGAGGGAGAGTGATAAGAAATTGGATACAGGAGAGGACTGAAAGAAGAGCAAAGGGCAGACAGGAAGGAATCAAGGAGACAGAGAGGAGAAAGAAATAGTGAGGGATATTGAGTAAAGCCTGGAGGCTTAGGATGAAAGGCTGTCCAATTAGACCACAAGTGGCAGCTCTGTACACGCAATTCTTACACTTCAGGGAGAAGGCATGAATTTGGCAGCATGAGCTTTTATCGAGGCAGTTTTTACTAGAAACTGTTCTCCCAAGTGATTATAAATGCATACTCATATACCCACCCAAACACTGCCACAACAAACCCACACATTTACTTATCACAGCATTATTCGAAGACACAGACACATACGCCCATGCACATGTTTGTTACAGAGCACTGTTTACTTATTTGTACTCTTTTATGGCAATTTACTTTTCCCCCTGAAGACTACTTCTAATCTTAGTCAAGGTTTCTTGCACCAAAAACAGTTGTAATTCAGCCTATTTTTCATCCTCCCTCTAATTCTAGAAATTGGTCAGTTTTTGCTAGCATATAATTAGTTATAATTAGCTTATCTCAATGTATGGGGTAGTCAAGGGTTCAAGACTGGTTAGCATGGTCCAGGTAGCCAAACTCGTTGTTAGATATTGTACCTACATCAAAATGGGAGCAACAAAATCTTTTCAATTAATGGTCATTCAAAATTAGCTGCATCTCCTGACTAGATTCTTTTTATGCAAATAAATAAATGTTTGTGCTGGTCGTAATATTGACAATGATGATGATATTGAGGGTGATAACTGCTTATCATTTGCAAGACGCCAAAAGCATTGAATCACAGCAAATCAATATCCTGATCAACACATCTAAAGGATGGAAAAACTGACACATGCCTTGTCTCCCCTTGCGGTCTCACTGTCTTTAATATTCTTCAATCCTGTAACCAAGAAAAAATCTTGCTGCCTATGACTAGTCTGACTTAGCCTGTAGCTTCTGGGTAGAAAGCGTCAGCGATTTTGAAACGGCTATAAAACTTTTCCCTGGCAATTCTGAGGGTCTTTTGCTGTTGGATAGTCCATAAACCACTTTGGAGCCACAATCAGCAATCTCAATTATCTTGTTGGCACAGTTAAGAGGGGAAAAGGTGCACATGGCAATTCACTACTCTATTGTTCCTGCTTATACAATTTTAACTATACAAAATCAAATCAAAAGTGTTCTGATCGATTTTATTCGGCCATGGCCCCAGCCTGTAAACTTCTGCGAGTACAGTATTTCAGCACACTTGTTGAGTTGACTGAACAAGAGATGTCAACTCTCATTATGCTGCAGTCTGACATATTCTTTGCTGAAGGTTGCTTTCCATTCCTCAACATTAAAATGTGCCAATACACTAGCTCAAACCAGCCCCGAACGATTGTTTACTTTCATTAGGAATTATGGGCCAGTTATCACCATACTGTACACAACAGTGTAGCACAGTGTACATTCCTCTCTGTTTCATTGTTTGTTGCAAATTTAAGAGAGTAAGACATTCTTGGCTCACAGTCTTGCAGGCTAATTAACCCTTATTTGTCTCTATATTACCTCTGCGATAAGGAGAAATAGGTCAGACGCCTTTTTTGGAAAGGTCTATAACAGTAGATGGACTATAGCCAGGTTTGAAGTGGTGAATTGGGAGAAACCTGGCAGCGCTCTGGACCACAGTTGATAGGCGAAGCACGTTTTGAGTCTTTTGTTTATCTGAGGTTTGTTTGTCTGTATCTGTGCCAATGAGAACTTTAAACTGCTCATTGGTAAGCAGGACATACTCAAGGCATGTGCTATCAAGGAGGCAAAACTGCTGTCCCAATGCAATGTGGAGAGTGTCAGTGCATCTGTCTAAAGGAAAGACATGACAATTAGGAGTGTCAGAGGTACTTAAGGATGACTTGTCTTGTGGTTTTCACTTGCACATAGGGCTGCAAAATAAATGGAAATAAATTAATGAGATTTCAATTGTGGTGTCTGCAACTGATCACGAAAAACGCATTTTCAGTATTAGACTAAAGGTCTACACGTTGCATTAAAATTTTCCATTGAGTTGGATTTGTGTTGCTTTTTAGGAACTTATACTTACTGTGCTGTTTGAATCCCTTGTAGACTGAATTTGCCTTAGCACATGCATGCTTGAATCCAGATTGTCTGAAACACAAGAATGCTTATATTTATTTGACATACCACATGATTGAAGAAAAAAAAGTGAGGGATACACTTATTCTATTGGACAGGCATTCCTCAAACATACAACGATGGTAGCTCATGGTTGGCTACTTGCAGAGATTTAACCAGCAACCTTCTGGTTACAAGCCCTATGCCACTGACACAACACCTAAAAAAAAAAGTAGATTGTAACTTTGTCTAAAGAGAATGTGTGCGGTTGCCTGTGCAAAATGCACTGCCACAAGTACAGTAGGTTGTTGCAATTTAGTTGTGGTTGTCTCAGCACAATCTTAAATACAAATTGGATTCTGTCTGAAGCACGATACTTCCATGAATGTGGTGATGTGCCACTCAAATGAAGAAGAAAAAGAACATGAGAGATAAACATGAGAGATGGACAGCTTAGCTATGACTCATCCCTCCATTATAGCAGGATCGAAGCAGAACAGGTCACTCGACTCTGATATTTATGGATGTTCTCTCCTCATCAGCCTGAAAACACTTGTCCTTCAAACTGGCATCATCTGACACTGATAGAGAGAATGGGAAACAAGGTAAGGAGAGAGGTGGTGAGAGAAAGATACATAAAAATACAGCAAAATAAATGCTTTTATAATAGCTCAGCCTATTTAAAAAAAGACAGGTCAATCTGCAGTGAAAAAGGCAATTGGATCTCTAAAATACTGCAAAAAAAACAAACAGATGAATGAGGCGCTGCAGGTAGATTAGAAGGGGAAGGACAATACTTTCCAACACCTTAATAATCGTTCCAACACATCCAACATCAACAGAGTTTCCATGAGGGGGCATTTTGCAGTGCCTATATATTACAAAATAATTGACAGTACAGACACATTAGGAAATAATTATGAGATCAAACGGAATAATTTGGACAAAACTCACATGTTTGAACATCCACATTTTCATTCATGTTGAAATCTAAACAAACTCAACATGATGATATGTAGATGAGCTGAATTTTAGAGACCACTCAGCACATATAAATGTGATTGCACCTGTAGTGTTTACAAAGAACCTGATAACTAACGGTTTGAAAAGGAGGTCATTATTAATAGGCTAGCAACAGGAAGTAGTACAAAAGAAAGATATGGAACAAAAAACAGAGAGGGGACTTTGCCTCATGTCAGATGTCAACTACAGGTTAAAAAAAATGTAAAAGAGGGGGAGGGGCTAAAACAGTGTTCTTAAACTCCCACCTGCTATAGTGCACTGGCTTGTTTGAGCCGGTGTTTCAGAGTGAATGCAAACCCAGTCAGGGAGAGATTAGCCACATCTGAAGAGCAGTGTGTGGGCGTTAGCTTAGATATGGCTAATCCTGACACCTCTGTTTCTCTCTCCATCTCTCACTCTTTTTCCTCCAAGTCGTGTCTGTTCTTTTTAAACAAAAAGGTCTGAAAATAGGCTCAGTGAAATAACTAAAAGAAAGTAAAAGTCTCAAAGACGGACACTGGGGAACACTAGTAAATACTTTACATCCAACTCAGTTTAAAAGAGATGCAACACAGTCAGCTGAGGACAGATGGGATCTCAAATCTTTTGCAGGATTCTCACAGTTAAAAACATGAATAATTCTGCAGTGAATAAGAGGACGGGATTGTGAAAAGACGTCAATGTTTTTGTAAAATGATGTTTTCACTTTTAGGTGCACATCAGAATATTTGTTTGTCTTTGTGTGTGTGTTATTCAAATTCAATTCAATCTAAAGGCACAATGACATGTTCTAGCACCAGTCTTCTCAAAATATGCAGCGTTGCTACAGAGATGATGCTACTGTGGATACATTGTGCTTGCATACAAACTCTGTGAAAGGGCTCAGTTTGTTTTCTGACACTGAACACTGGACTACATCTTCATAAAATATTATTGCCTAAGTGTCACTTAAAAAAAAAAAAACATCTTGCATGCACTGTAAATACTGTAGGTTAAATGCCACTGTCAGATTCTTAACAAAAACACAGAGACTATTAACTGGTTTATGTGGCAGTAGTTGGGTCAGCTCCATGTCCACGTCTCTTAAGAGGAACAGTACATCACTAGCTCATGCCAGAAAAGCCACCACTGTGAATCCAGGTCAGGAGTGATTCATTGAGCAACAACAAGAAATGGCAGTGTTCTTGGAGACCCAGCATGGGTCACGGTGAAAAACTACACAATTCACTATGAGGCCATGGAATGGTAACCCAGGATTTTTAAGTCTGTACTTAGTGCATGGAAAGATCTACAATGATATACAAAAATGTAATGATATATCCCACTGATGGATATGTGATTGCAAATATGTTTGAATAATCTTTAAGACCTTGTGCACAGCTACAGCAGTTTCATCTTTTATTCTTAACGGGAATGAAACGGGCTGTGAGGGATAGACATAGACATCTCTTCAGTGGGTTATACTGTTATTTAATGTGTTTGTGGATTGTTCTGACAACAAAACACTGCAAAAATATCTTTCCAAGAAATTTCAGTATACAAAAAACCCCAGACAATATGAGCTGTGGAAAATTATAAGTGAACTAGGAGCTTTATATGGCCTTTTACAGCAGATACCATCCCTCACAGCCTAGCTGTGACATACCTGTCATGGCGCTGCTCTGAATAAGGTCTATGGAGTTTCTGGTGTGTATTGGCTGCTTACAAGCCCAAGGAAAAATGTCAAAATTTGGGGTAATTGAATCAACTTTCTGGTTACTAGCTCTCAGCTATAACCCCTATTACACAATACCAAAGGCAGAAAGAACAACAGTTCTAAACTTGTTATCATATCATAGGATCATTAACAATTTTATTTTGATGTCTGAACATGTATGGTTATTTAATAAAGTCATGGCCCTATTTGGCATCAAGCCAACAAATTATGTAACTTCATGAGTGACTTTTCTTTAGTTTAGACCTTTCAAAAAGTCAATAAATCCCTCCTGCCCTACCCAAACCAACTCGGCTGAGGTTGCAGAGATAACAAGGTCAATATGACCATCCCAGAGGGATATATCAATAACTTCCAATCCGAAATCACGGATGAGATCATCCACATCAGCTGACCCACATTTTACACATGAACAAGCAGCTGGGACTCTGTTTTTATAAACATGCTCATTAAAACAAGAAGACCAAGACATTTGAAGTCTTATACTGCAGAAAAGAGCATTCAAATATACACAAGATCTTAAGGACAGGTTAACTTGGTGGGGTTTTTTTAAGTGAGGGGAGAGAAAGGGGCAGAGATGTGGAGAAATCCAGTGATTTGATTTGTCCTTGTGTTGACTGACGCAAATGAGGCTTGCTCGCACACACATTCTCACGAACAACCTGGTGACGCATACAAATGTCACCTCCAATATTCTAAATGTAAGAGCTCATGGATTACCAGAAACGAGCACCCTTTACATGAGAGCATAAATGCATTAATGTTTAATTATTTATGTTTCAGTCTAAACACCGGAAATAATCATTGTTAAAATGTTTTGGATATTGACGTGGATGACATGCAAACTCATACCCAGGCTTTAAAAACACAGACAGAGCCTGTCAAAGGAGAATCTCAATTGCTTTATAAAAAGCACATCTCTGGGTGAAAAAAATAAAATAAATTATATATATATATATATAATTATGAAGTTTCAAAAAAGAAAAAGAAACAGTGAAAACTTTATAATAAATTGATTTATTGACCATATACCAAATTGAAATAGTTTATACACAGAAATGTTACAGTAAAAAGTTCACAGACAATTTAATACAAGTCTCTCAATATCACACATATGCACACAACCCACTTTCTCACACATTCACAAGAAACTCTACTTTTACCTTTTTTTTTACAATCTTTTGGACTTTCAGGCCTGTAGGTCTGTAATTTTCCTCTTTCTGTAGTTGATAACTAGACTAGAGGCAGTGAGGTGAGAGGACCGGCCTTTTTCCCACAGTTGGAAACTGTTAAGTCCACTCTGCCCTGACTTAAACAAGCTTCTCTCTAAGCAATCCAATCGCTCCACCAGCGCTGATGTGTCCTCGTTGTAGGCGTTTTGGGATGAGTCCATGGTCCGACGGAAACGACCAATGAAGGTCTGATAAGAGAGATGGGGACAGTAGAGATAATATGTAAGATACAATTATACATCCTTAGAGGATGCAGGGACAGTTTATGAAACAAATAATAAAGAGGTCTTAATGCTTCTATTCAGTTACACCAATAAGCAGTCTGTTTGAGCAAAATATAACTCCTAAAATTTAATTAATTCAGCACTAGAAATGATCAAAATAAGTAGACTTTATGGTGCAATCCACAATTTCTCACATGGTTTGAATTGAACACTAAAAGTAATTCTGTATTTGCAACTTCAAACATATATTATTATGTTCTAATAAACTTAATGTGTAAAGCTGCTTGTTGAATTACAACAACCAAAAGCCAGTGCCGGCCATAATAACTATGCAGCAGATTTTTAAAGCCCTAAATTAAGCAAAATTTACTTTCCTTAAGCTTAAGTAACATGGAGCTTTAATTGCATGTAAGTCCTATTAAACCTGCCATACCAGTCTGCCCAGCAACTGGTCAGTGCTAGTAATGATTTTAAATGTATTGCTCCCTCTACTGGTTGATGTAAGAAATAGCAGATGAATCAGTAATGCATGCATGTCCCTTAGTTGTTTAACCCCTTAAGTGTCACCCCCCTTTTTTGGAATATACATGAAAATGCACATTTCGAACTTAAATGGTTGTAATTCAAGAATGCTTTGGAATATAGACGTAAGATTGGTCTTGTTTTAAAGAAGACATTTAGCAGATTTTTGTAGAAGTTAAATAAATTGAGAAAGTGAAACATAAAAAAAGTTATGGAGGTTTGAGTTTATGAAAATTTACAATGTAAAAAATTGAATTATTCTTATTTTATATAAAATATATATTTTCAAAACCTGGGCGACTCTAAAACTGCAAAAAAAATCAAAGCCAAAAATCTGAACATGTTGTGTTTCAAATTTTAGGTTGATATCTCAAAAAATGAGCTTTCAGTAAGATTTTGTTTGTGCGCAGTACCAAACTTTTTCACTAGATGACAACCAGACTCCATTACTGCCCATATAAGGGCGCCTCCATTTCCATATGTGTTTTGAGTGATCTGAACCATTATTTCCACAATTTTCATACAATTTATGAAGTAGACATCCTATTCAGAAGTAATATGAGAAGTTTGGCAGATTTTGATATGAATTCAACCTCTAAGGAACACATAAAAATAACACGCATGTGCGTTATAGCTTCCTGCAACAAATGGTGAATCTATCATTTTTTTCTTTATATTTTAAAAAAAATTCAGACCTTTTTTTCTAAAACAAAATTGAATGGATGCTATCTTTTGAACTCTTGGCATGAAAACAAACTGAGGTTTCTACCCTTCTTTCATGATTTTTCATGTTCATCACTATTTCAAAATAAAGGTCTAAACACGCATTAGGAGTATGAAAATATTCTTGTTGCAAATTGATAAATTACGGCTCCTCTGTAATTTATTTTGAAAATCAATCACCAAATATGGAAACTAGAGATTGTAAGCTTTCAAATGATATATAATCTGTCAAGATTAGTTTAGGTTTAGCATAGGATATTACTGTTCTAAAAATGTAATGGATTTGGGCCCACCGGTGGGCCGGTGGGCCCATTTTAGCATGTGGGCCCATTTTAGCATTCATTTTAGCATGTGAAGTTGCGAACCTTAACAACAAGCCTTGTTCTAACTACCCATTACTAACTAGGTTAAAGTATATTAAACAAAACTCCTCACCATATCTTGCAAGTTTAAGATTTTTAAAATGATTTTCCTTGCATTTGCATGCTCTTTAAAGTCATAATATATTGTTTTATGACTACCTATCTGTACATGCTCACCTGGAGGATGGTATTAGCAATCTCTGGGTTTTCTGGGCTGTCAAAATGCAGCATCTGGGAGCCTAAACCATAGTAATATGGCCCCATTTTTTGCAGGTCTACAACAGCAGGATCTGCCCCGAACACTGTTCTCCAGCCCTCGCGATACACCTTCGGCAGCTCCATGGACAGCACTCGCCTCTTCCTTTCATACAGCCCCTTGGCCAGCCAGAGCGGCATCTCCATCTTTGTGCCCTGAAACATACAAACACAAGAATAAATCTGCGAAAGGACACTTTCTTCTCATATGAAGTTGCTATTAGACCACCTTATAAATATGTTGTGGTCAGGGCCATAAACACCATAGACAAAAAGCACCCCGACCACTAATAAAACGGCTAATTTGACGCACACCAATATTTGATATTATTGATGCTGCATCACTCTGTTGTTAGGATGACACCAAGTTTTAAAAGTAAAATTTTTAGGCTGGTCTGCCTCAGTGGTCTAACAGCGCTCGTCAAAATGATTAAGATGGTCAATAAAAAAGGCGAGATTTACTGTTCACAGAAGACGAGAGCGAATTCCCACGTGACACTTAGTAGTTTTCACTGTGGAAGAGAGGTAAGTTGGAAAGGTGAGTAGCTAAAAATGTCATATTTGACAACGGTTGCCTGATAGAAATGTGAAAGTGACAGTAATATACAGTGAGTGATGCAAACTTCTTAACTTTTTTTTTTTAATCAGACTGTTTTAAATTCAATATTGTTGTCAAGATTTTTTGTCATGAATATTTTCACAGTGTCATTTCCATCTCATCTCAAATAATGTATTGTGTTTGATAACATTTTGTGGTGGAATTTGTTATGGAAATTAATTATCATTTTTCTAATAAAACATCTTGTCCTTTTGTTAATTTCATAGCAGCCATTTTATGTATTAAACAGAAATTGGACTTTTTAATATTACGGTATTACAATTATTATTATTTATTTTTTGCTCTTCTTGGTAAAGTTACACTACAATACAGAAAACAAATAGGCGAAATTATGACATTATGCTAAATCTGAGGGACATAAGTCATTTGTGGAAATCATTTTTATACAAATACATATTCACGTTTTGTTTAAATCATAGTTTAAACATAATAATTTATATTTTATAAAGGTTGTTGTCTTAGATTAAGAGAAGATCTGGGAAGAGAAGATCTAAAGTGTAAATTTGAAAAATAGTTCAAGAAGTTTTTGTCATCTTTATATAACATAGCACGTAAAAGTGCTCGAAAAGCTTTTATAACCGCTTTAAACCTATTTTTATTGGTAAATGTATTGTTATAAGGTTACCTCCGGTATGTCGCGGCTCTCGCTGGATTTCTCTAGGAACCCGAGTCTCGGGAACGCGCTCTCAGTCCTGCACGGCAGTCGCTCGTGAGACAGTAAAATATCATCCAGAGAAAAGAAATTCTCCTCCATTCCGATACCCGGAGGAACGGGCATGTAGGATAGCGCGTCCATTTATTTATTTATTTACAATAATTGAACGATAAATGGGCAAACAAAATCTAACAGACGGTAAAAAATAAAGACAAACTTGTCAAAACAACAGCACTGTCATAGCATTTGGCGCGCAACTTCAAATAAGAAGTAATGGAACATTGAGCAGAAGAAGCATCGAACAGGCGCGAGCAGTCGATAACAGAGTGATGAAGACTCACTGTTTCTCAATACTCTTTGATTTTACAGTATCTGTGATTGAAACGTGGTAAAAAGAAAATACTAGGTCAGTTTAAAAAGAAAAAAAAAACAGTATTTTGGTTGGCTGCTGGATTTATTTTATTTTAGAATTAGTTAGAGTCGTTTTAATAAGCAACGAACTTTTTAGAAGAAGAGAAAACATAAAAAGAAAATAGAATTAAGTTGGAACACAAATATTTAAATGAACATTTACCAAATGATTCTTTTTTTTACGTTATGATGGAGCTAAGATACAATGTACAACTCTGTCATGCGCATTTATTACTTTGGCCATCAGATGTCGCTATTTCTTTAAATTACCCACGAGACAGTCTATAATTGCAGTGATTACTGCTGTCTGTCATTTAGTACTGCATACCATTACAAGTAAGAATGCTCTCACGTAAACATAACAATGGCTTACCAGTGGCCTGTCATTAAACAGAATTATAAAACCATATTATCTTGTTGTGAATTCAAAAGTTGTTTACAAGTTCAACACAATAAGCAGACACACACAATGAAAGTTGAAGTTCTTGGATTGTAACTGACTGATGGTCACAGCTAAATTTGCAGAACAGACTCAGTACTAATTCTTTTTATGGACATAACTTATGTTTTTGCGCACTTACACTGCATGCTTAGATTACCCATAAATTATTTTTATATTCTCAAAATGGTCCTCGGTATGACATTGCTCAATGCCCTGAACACATTAGACTGACTAACTGAAATATCGTTTAATTGTGAGATAGGCAGCAGTTGCACTAGAAATAATATGAAAATCATGTATTTTATGCTAATTTAAAAAGCCTCAGTGGAAGCAAATGTAATAATTTACATTAGTGTCTATGGGTTATGGTCCTGGTTACAAGATCATGCCTCTAAAAGATTTCAGCAAGTTTAATGCAATGCATACTACGATATCAGAGTGATATGGTCCATACTTCATTTATGAATGCAGAAATATTAATAAGCATAATGTATTGATTTACTGCGAGCGATACAACAGAGAGAGATGCTTTGTCTTGCTGGAAGTTTAGGCCTATTGTATTTTATTTGATAGTTTTATATTGTATATTGCAAATATGGATTTTCCATTTATTGTGATAATTTTATTATCACAATAAATGGTGATTTTATTACTATCACATTCTATAGCTTAAATTTGCTTTATTTTATTAACACACACAAAAATGTACATTTACATTTTACATACATTTAGTCATTTAGCAGACGCTTTTATCCAAAGCGACTTACAACTGAGGACTAAACCAAGCGAGTCATCGTGAAGAGGCAAAAGCAACGCAAGAAGTGCTCAAAATACAAAGTTCAGACATAGCTCGGAGTAGCATAAGCCAGGCAAGCGAGGATTTAGAGGAAAGGATTTTTTTTTTTTTTTTTTTTTTTTTTTTTTTTTTATGTTAAGTGCTCCCGGAAAAGATGAGTTTTCAGTTGTCTTTTGAATGTTGTCAGGGATTCTGCATTCCGAATGAGGGTGGGGAGATCATTCCACCAGCATGGAACTGTGAATGAGAATGTTCTGGAGAGTGATTTTGTGCCCCGCTGTGATGGTACCACGAGCCGTCGCTCATAGACCGATCGTAGGCTTCTGGTAGGGATGTAGACTTGTAGTAGTGAGTGGAAGTAGGAGGGAGCTGAACCTGTGGTCAATCTGTAAGCAAGCGTCAAAGCCTTGAACTTGATGCGAGCAGCGAGTGGTAGCCAGTGCAGAGAGATGAACAGAGGAGTGACATGGGCCCTTTTGGGCTCGTTGAAGACCAGACGAGCTGCAGCATTCTGGATCAATTGTAGAGGTTTAGTTGCACATGATGGAAGTCCAGCCAGAAGAGCATTGCAGTAATCAAGCCTAGAAATGACCAGGGCCTGGACGAGAAGTTGTGTTGCATGCTCAGTTAGGAAAGGCCTGATCTTCCTGATGTTGTGCATAGCAAACCTGCATGATCGAGCTGTCTTTGTAATGTGGTCTGTGAAGGTCAGCTGATCATCAAAGATTACTCCAAGATTTCTGACCGACCTTGATGGGGTGATTGAGGATGAATCTAGCTGGATAGTGAGGTCGTGCTGTAGAGACGGATTGGCAGGGAGGACGAGAAGCTCAGTCTTTGCCAGGTTGAGCTGCAGGTGATGTTCCTTCATCCATGCAGAGATGTCCGCCAGACAGCTTGAGATCCGTACAGCTACTGTGGGGTCATCTGGTTGAAATGAGAGGTAGAGCTGGGTGTCATCAGCATAGCAATGGTAAGAGAAACCATGTGCCTGTATGATAGGTCCCAGTGATGTGGTGTAAATGGAGAAGAGGAGCGGTCCGAGAACTGAACCCTGAGGAACGCCTGTGGTCAGTTGATGTGCTTTGGATACCTCACCTCTCCATGTGACCTTGAAGGACCTACCTGTGAGGTAGGACTTAAACCAGTTGAGGGAGGTTCCAGTGATGCCCAGTGATGAGAGGGCGAACAAGAGGATCTGATGATTCACAGTGTCGAAGGCAGCAGACAGGTCCAGTAGAATGAGAACTGATGATTTGGAAGCAGCTTTTGCGACCCGCAGGGCTTCCGTGACTGACAGCAATGCAGTCTCAGTTGAATGTCCTTTCTTGAAGCCAGATTGGTTGACATCCAGCTGGTTGTTCAGAGACAGGAAGGATGATACTTGGTTAAAAGTAACTCGTTCAAGTGTTTTCGCAATGAATGGTAGGAGAGAGACAGGTCTGTAGTTCTCTAGAAGTGATGTGTTTAATGTTGATTTTTTAAGCAGAGGGGTTACCCGAGCCTGCTTAAATGCTGTAGGGAAAATGCCAGTGTGGAGGGATGAGTTGATAATGTGTGTGAGAGCTGGTAGAAGTGTGGGAGAGATGGCTTGTAGAAGGTGTGAGGGGATGGGGTCTAGAGGGCAGGTGGTAGGATGTATGTATATATATATATATATATCCTATAACTTTTTTTCCTATTATTATGTGTGTGTGTAAAAATGCAACATACTAAATAATTGGCAATAAAACAGTCATGCCATAAATTACATTAAATTGCAAACTGACAGTGAAAGATGCACATATCAGTTTGCGATCTTTAGCATGCTGTGCCATTTAAACTAAACATGGTTTTCTTGTTGTCTGTCAAATGCCCCTGAAATGTCATGGCTTGTTGACCTAATGCACTCGCATTTTTTGGCCCCATTGTGGAGATGAAAGACCATTAATTTTCTCAAGCATTTATAAGGCCTTCGACTGAATGGTTGCAAATTAAAACACGAGGAATACCTAAATTAAACAATGTCTGTCGGCAACGTTCCTGGGTCACATCTCTGTCCTCCGTTAACACCACATTCAGATCACCAAGCGGCTGTTGGTGGCGAGACGTTGTCTGTGTTAACTTCTTAATAATTGATTGTTTGGGCTAGATGTTGTAAATCCGTGCTTGCGTTTACAGCACATCTCGCCACTGTTAATCCGCGTATGCGCAGTAACCGCCTCTATTGTCTCCGAGCAGCAGCAGCGCACGGACGGATCTGCGCGTGCAGGGGAGCGGCACACGCTGACCCGAATCTCCAGGCAGACGGAGGGAGCACGAGCGGACCTGGACGTGTACACTGAACGGGCATCATGACTGATGTATTTTGAGTCATTCCTCTTTGAATAAGAGAGAGCCTTCGCATTCAAAGTACTGCGGATGTGTTGTTGCGCGTGGTGATTCTGGGCAGGCTGTCCTGTCAGTTGCTTTTAAGCGGAGAACGTGTTGCGTTTTTGCTCGCGCGAACGGCTTTATCACCCCCTTGTTTCCTCGTGAGTTAAGGTGATTATTGAGACTTTAGGTCCATGATTCGACCAGGAAAATGGGCTGTTGCGTCTGCGAGACACAGCTGTTTTAGTCAGACTTGACAACCGCGGATTTTAGCGCTTGTTTTGGTCGCTTGTTTGAAAGGAGGCTCGAGAAGCGCCGCAGGGCGATCCGTGACACCCTTTCCGCGACACCCCCACCCATTTTTAGCGGATACTTTTGGATGGGGGGCAAACAGAGTACGGCGGGGCGGCCCCGGGGTGCTTTTCCCGGTGTCTCAACAGATGACAGCGCGGTGCCACCCTCGGCCCACTTCGGGCACTACCGGCCAGGTGGCACGATGGGACTGCGCAGCCGCTCGGTGAGCTCCGTGGCGGGGATGGGCATAGATCACAGCGCCACGGTGCCCTTCGGGTTTTACACCCCCAGAGGAACAGACACGGACAGAGCAGGAGGGGGGTCTGGCTCGGATCCTGCTCATAACGGGAACGGATACCAAGAAACTGGCGGGGGGCACCACACGGACGGTATGCTTTACCTGGGACCCCGTGCGTCGTTGGCAGACACTTTGCCCCTGCACATCGCGCCCCGATGGTTTAGCGCCCACAGCGGTAAGTGATAACTCAAACTCCGCATTTACAGGGCGCAGTGGCACAAAGCTACATCGATGCCACCACATGTAGTACGGAATATCACTTGAGGGCATATGCTGCTGCTCCAGTTTTCGCGCCGGCGGGAGGGGGAATGCGCACGAGACCTGTCTCACCAACGGCTGGACTCGACTGGCGCGAATTGACATTAATAAGCCAGGTTGCCGCCAAATCTTACTGGGACAATTAGCCTGTGATTTAATAGGGAGGGGGATTCAATGTTTATCATCAGCTTAGCTCGAACCACAATATGTCTCTCCGACTAGGTCATAGTGTTAGGGACATTGATTAATCCCAGACTGGCATGAAGACTCGATTTTTTTTAATCACTTCACCAAAAATATTTGTTCACCGTTTGTAGGTATCGACCATGGAGTTTCTTTTTGTGTGCGAAAAAGTCATTGAATAATTCGCTGAGCCGATTTGTTTCATTAATTCATTTTTATTTCCCATGAATTTAAAGTCACTGTGAAATCAAAATAGACTATTCCTATTTTTTAAGAAATATTGCTGTATTTATCATAAATTTATCTGTGCTCTTATATGATGTCTCTAATCACTCACATGAGATAGCAGCAAAAGAGTGTTTCAGGTATGACATCACTTAGGTAAAAGTGCAAAACTAGTTAGCATTTTTGCACTTCCGGTTCCATCCTCCCGAAGTCATTTGGTTTTTTGAATGGGATTTTGGTTAAATGGCTGAAATAATGTCTGTGGTGAACACGAGGTCAAGACATTTTCACATTTTATTATATGACATTATAATACATCAGTATTACCCCACTCGTATTTTTTTTTTAAAGCTGTTACTGTTTTGAAAAAGGCGGTTGCTAACAAGTGGCTAAATGGCATTTCAGAGGCTGTTAAGGGACATTAAACGTCATCCCGTTGAACAGGTAATCTCAGTCCGCTTTTACAGCAGCGTTATATAATTGTGCTCTTATAAACTATTCTAACTCAAACTCTCTGGGAAAATGTTTTAGATAAAAACTAAAAGAGCTGTCAGGCTTAGTGATGGTGGTGACGTGGGACTGTGGTGTAGTTCGTTTGTAAGCCTACATTTAGCTTTTTTACTTTTGGCGACTGCATTTAGGGTTCAAAATTAATGAAAGTTTAAGTATAAGTATCATAATCTTTTGTTGATCACAGAGCTTGTTTTTTTTTTTTAGATAATCCAAAAGCCTGGTGAAAATCCTATAGGGTTTTTGCCAAGGGAACCAGTGCGATGCTAACTGGCGATTGGCCTAAAAAGTGATGACTCTATAGCAAACGACAACGATCCAATGATCCAATCAATTGCTGATGGACAAAATCAAGTCCCACCCCGTCTTGTTCGATAAGCCGTTTCACTTGGATATGTGACACAATAGAAAAGACTATCGCAACTTCCGTTTCATGCCATCTTTAAACAAGCTTTAAAAAAAAGACAGTAATATCCCTATTAGCACAAGTACATCTATTTGATGTAATATCCCTATTAGCACAAGTACAGTCTATTTGATGTCTGCATTTACATCTGCAAGGTGTACATCTGCATCTTGAAGATGTTTAAGATTATTTAGAATGTATATAAAACTGACGTTTATCAGATGGTTTTTTAGCAGACATCTCACAGAGGACACCTGTGCTATACTTTGTCACATAATACATTATTTTAATGATATATTATTATAATTCCACATATTCATAGATCGTTCACACCTTTCTGTCCTTATTGTGCTCGAGATTATCTCACTTGACAAACTGAACAAACAACAGTCTGATAGTCAGCAGAACTAAACGTAAGAGATATGGACCTTTCACGACCAAGATGTCTTTCTCATTCGTTTTGTTTAAGTTATCGAAATTTCTCATTCATTGCTGCTCTGAGCCTTGTTTAGACTAACAAATTGAACTCATTCAGTGATGCGTACATTCGTTTTAACCAATAGACAATGCTCCTTCACCACAACCTGTGAAATCATATTTATGCTAGCAGTCCTTTAAGACAGGAAAGCAGTCACTTGCATCTAAAGGAAGAGGAAGAAATATGAGTCAGTGCATGGAAGTGAACAAGAACGATTGGTTTCAGGACTGAAACACCACCACTGGGCTTGTCAAGGCCTGAGTCGCAGAGCTCTGATGTCTTCCAGCCTCAGTCCCTCGTTGCTCATTAAACAAGCCCCAAATGTGGCCTCCAGAGGAAACATGCCAGATGTAAACAATCTGACTCCGTTTTTCCCTTAAAGGTTATTTCACTGACACCAAATGAGGTTCCCCTTATTGTCAGGGAACGTAGCTCATGTTAGCAGGTGAGGCGTTCAGCTCTGAATGTCATGGTGTGTGTGATTTGGCTTCTAAACAGTGATCACACACAGGTTGCCAGGTTGCTACTGTGAGTTAATGAATGTCACAGTGAACACAGGAGAGGTCAGGTGCCTTTCTAAAGGGTGGGGTTCAGGGATCATGAGGGGAAACTGTTCTTGGAAAAATACTGCCTGTTCCCCTGTGTTTGAAAGTAAGACTTAGTAAATAGGTATACGTTCATGTCAAACGCTTGATGAAATGGGAATGACTCTTCTGAAACAATGACTTAAACATACCCACACATTTCAGCCCAGTTCATCTATAATTTAAAACTGCATAAATGTGAAAACTTTTTTTCTTCTTTTAAAAGCAAAAATGAAAATTTGGTCATTCACTCATCCTCATTTCATTCCAAACCTTTATGACTTTCTATCTTCTGTGGAACACAAAAGAATATATTTCGGCAACACTTGATCCATTAATACTAACACTTTCTTTTCTTTTTGTATTCTTCTATATCTATTTTAAAAAATGTAGGTGGTTTACTTCTTTAAACTAAACTGGATATGGTCACAACACTTGCATATTTTTGCCCTATTGTTAGTTTAATTGGTTTATTGCTCTCCTCATTTCTAAGTCACTTTGGATAAAAGCATCTGCTAAATGATTAAATGTAAATATATTTTTAAAAAATATGTTTTTTTTAGGGCTGTCCTGTCAAATGATTAATCGTGATTAATCACATCCAAAATAAAAGTTTTTTTTACATAATATATGTGGGTGCACTTTGTATAATTATTTTACATATATAAATACACACACATGCTTGTATATATTTAATAAATATTTTCATGTATATACTGTATATAGATTTATATATAATTTATATTATATATAAATATAAATATTTTATATATAAATAATATTTTTTTCTTAAATATACATGCATGTGTGTGTATTTATATATATATACAAAATAATTATACACAGTGCACCCACATATATTATGTAGTGTTGTCAAAAATATCGATATTTCGATAAATATCGATACTGAAATATCTGAACGGTACCAATACTAATTTCCCGAAGTATCGATACTCAGGCGCGTTGACAAACACCACACGTGACGCACTCGTCTCATTCGCTCTGGTTAAATAGCAAAAGTGAAGTGAATGGAAAGATGGCGAGGGCGGCGCCCCCGCGACCGGCTTTGGTTGATTGATAAAGAACACCGCGAGCGGGCATGTCGGAGAATAGCGCGGACACGCGTAAAAAACACACCGCGAGCGGGCATGTCGGAGTCGGAGAATAGCGTGGACACGCGCTACACACCGCGAGCGGGCATGTCGGAGAATAGCGCGGACACGCGTAAAAAACACACCGCGAGCGAGCATGTCGGAGTCGGAGAATAGCGTGGACACGAGCTACACACCGCGAGCAGGCATGTCGGAGAATAGCGCGGACACAAGCTACACACCGCGAGCGGGCATGTCGGAGAATAGCCCGGACACGCGAGCGGGCTGCGGGCACCCAACAGATTGTTTGACTATCAATAATCCCTCACATCACTAATTTTTTTAAATTATTGTATAGGTGAAAACAGACTTAAGGAACAGGCTCCAGGGGTAGGCTACTATTTAGCAGCATATGCTCAGCATCAGGGGTGTTTGTTGTTTGGACAGACCTGCCCCCACTGCTAAAAAAAAGTCCTCAAGGAAACACTGTAACTCTTCTCATTTGAACTTTTCTGAAACATTAACCAAGATGGCCTAGTATTGTTGTTGATAAGAGTCTGTGTTGTCTCGTTTTAATTCTTAAAGTTAACATAATCTGACTGAGGAAACTTAGACAAGTAAATATTGTAACTGTGGTCAAATGTAAATTAACTGGTGCCTATTTAACTTTATTCAAAAATTATTATTTAATTCTGCAATTTTCCTTCATTAGCGATTATCATCAATTTGATTACACAGATATTAATTAAACTAAACAGCTATCTCTGAATTCAATAATGACATGCCTTTAACTGAAAATTGAATGTTTAATCTTATTATTATACATTACTGACTCTCTATCCTCCAATTTGATGTTAAGTGCTTTTTTGTTACAGTATATTTTAATCTTTGATAACAGTAGGTAATAAAAATACATCATGTTAGCTCTGGTCCAATTAAAAAATATAAACAAATAGAACTCAGGACATTTTTGTTCGTGTAAAATATACCTCATTGTCATGTTCTAGACTTGTTATATTTAGCTTTAAATTAAAAAAAATACCCCCTTAATATTGTGGCAGCTTTTTCTCCGTGGTATCGAAAATGGTATCGAATATCGATATTTTTCAAGGTATCGTATCGAAGTTAGAAATTCTAGTATCGTGACAACACTAAATATTTTGGATGCGATTAATCGTGATTAATCATTTGACAGCCCTAGTTTTTTTATATTATTGATTAAAACTGAGTATACCAAGTAACACCAATGACAGTTTTTTTTTTTTAGATATTGCCTTAAATGTAAAATATCATATATATTTTTGGTTTCGATACTCGTTTATACTTTTATTTAACAACTAGTATGCCTTTCCTAGGTTTATTCCTCCAAAAAAGTGTACTAATCTGTTTCAAAACATTGATCTGTTTGTTTGAGTTTGAGTTTAGGGCGGGACTATCTGT